AAAAAAAAAATAATAGCGGTTGAAGTTTAATCTCCTACGATTCGAGAAAGCGTGAGATACATTGATTTGGCGGGTTAAGAATTCGCACGCCAAACAGTGCCAATTGGAGTGCCCCAGAGTTAGTCAAAGTGGAATATCGCTTACGGCGACGGGGGTTGGCGAGCGCCCGCGAGCAAGGGGCGAAGCCTCCTAGTAGTTATTTAATTACCAAATAGAATTTATCGTTTATCGAAATTCCAATCACTTTTCAACTAGGAACTTAATTCTCATGCCTGATGATCAATCGTTTTCTTGCCGTGATATGCAGAATTTACAATACCATTTTAACTCCAATGAGGGTAATAAAAATTTCGATAACTTTCCAACTAGGAAGAGAATTTCTCTTTGCCTGATGTCAATATAAGTCAAAATTCCATCGTTAATTGCAAAATATATCATCATTTTATCGCTGATTGAAGTTTTTAACAATCTTTGACAGGAACAAATTAAAAAAAAAAATGAAATGAAATTTTAAAAAATTACGTCTTTTAATCGCAGAAAATGTTTCTGGCCTAAAACAAAAGTCATTTCATCTGTAAAAAGCACACGAAAATTTCCATCCGCCTTTCGAAATTTATGCTCCCCATGTTTTTTGTTTTAGGTCTGGCAAATACTTTTCTTTTATGTAATGAAAACATTTTAACAAATTTCAAGTACCCGTAGTGATTATATTATCTCGATCATGATTGGTTGTTGAAACATGGCATATAACTGTTATTAACTGTTCTTCTCATTCCATTTTGAGTAAGCCAAGTCGGTCAATTATCAATTTTCTAAGGTGACACCTTCTATATTCTTTCACAAGGATTTCAATTCTTTCACTATATATTTCTTACTTAACACAAAGGTAAGCGCAAGTCATGTAGAACATTAAACTAATTATGCAACTAAGTTGCCAAGCACCCAAAACAAAAAAATGTCACGGTTACAAAAAAATACATAAATAAATCTGAGTTAAGTAAAAGACGTAGACGAGATAGAATTATATTTCAACAAATTCCATGCGTGATACGGAGCTGTATTTAATTAACTTCATATTAATTAATATTCAAACTTATGTGGAAAAACTTAACTCAACTTTAACTAGCCATTTTGCTTATAAATGATCAGCTGACGTCATAGTGTGAGTATTTGTGATCTTCTTCTTTTTGCAGTGAAAGTATCCAATTATATAATAACTCAAGCCTTATTTACACAGTGACTCCAATTTTAACTACGAATTGAGAATTTTTAAAAGTAAAATCGGCAATAAGGCGAACATTACTTAATTCATATCTTTAATTTTTAGATTCTAATCAAATTTCAAGGAAGTGGCTCATTAAAAATTTTCACCTGGCATGAAATATATTTGGAAAAATTATTTCAATAATTGGAGAATCCAATAAAAATTCATTCGTGCATTTAAATCGTTTAATTGTTATTCCGGTTTCGAAAGAGCTTTTAATTCATTTTTTTGTTTGTTATTATTATTATGAATGAGACGAAATGTCAAAATAATGAAGAAATTGAACAAAGCATTAAATCTATATTTGTAGCATATTTCTATTTTTAAAATGTTCTATTTTCTAATATTTCTATTTTCTACTTTACACACTCTTGAGATCCGATCTTTAAATAATAACGTGATTTTTACTCAGACGAAAATAAAGGTCATAAAATACGCTTTGTTAATTTTATTTTTTAATGTTACGTAAAATCCTAAATTTTAATTTTTTGCATAGTGCAGAGTATTTTTATAATGTATATCTTCACGTTTTGGTCTTTAAAAAAATCCACTAGACACAGATAATAAAATATGCCGAAAAACTGTTTAAAAATGTTTATTTTAATCGAGTTTCTTATCTTTCTTACAATTTTTATTGTTATGAAAAACTCCGGCCGACCAGGATAAATTCAATTTAATTTTTACTTAGAATCGCTTTGTAAAGTCAAATATAAACAGAAAAAATCTCTAAGTTTAATATTACCAAATGTTAAAACTGAACCAAATGTTGTTAAAGGTACTGTACTCTGGGTCTCGCAGAGGTTGCTGTTGTTGTCGTCATCGTAGGCCATTAAGGGTGCGATTGTTCTCGTTTTTCAGTGACGGTATCTATGGCCGAGAATTCGACTTCTGCCTCACCCACTCGTCACACCCGTTTATAGGGTGAACCCATTCCTTCATCCACGGATTACAATTTTAACCTGAACCAGAGAACGATCAATCTCTAATTCAGTACCCCCAGAGGAAAATTGTTTTTAATATGGGAACATAGAGGACTTTGTGATCCGACAAATTTAGCTTGCACCAGTCACCCGAAATTTAGCGTTCACCACTCACTGGATTCGAACTCCCGTTCTCATGAACGTGAGTGCCCTGACAAACAAGTGATGAAGCTAATAGGGTTTTTCTTTGAATAGTTACCGAGTGACAGTGGTTAGTGAGATGCAATATATTCACTTGAACACTAGTTACCTTTAATAACTTTTTTTGAAACAAAAATCGATGAAACATGGCACTTTGTTTTGAAAGGTGATATTTAACCCACTCTAATCAGTTGGAGATGGGGTAACGGTTAACCATATCAAATATTTTCTGGCTCAAAAGATATTGAAAGATATCGCAAGGATCAATAGATTGATGACTGCTGCGTGTACTTAAAGATTCATTAAAATGAATTGACCTAAATAACGACTAAACATAAATTGAAGGATACATTGTTAAAAGCCAGTGAATTATCCGACGGTGAATTAAGATTTTTCACTATATCTACTGTGGACTCGAACTTGGTGCGCGTCTTGTTCAGCTGATACATCAAGTTGCACAGAGATTCTATTTCCTGAAAACAAATTAAGCATTATAGAAAACGATTATCAAAACAGAGAAGTTATTAAAGGGGAAATATTTTTCATACAATTCCTTTTTATAACACACAATGGTATCAAAACAGATTGTACTTTTTTTTTATCTTTACTCGAAGTCTCACCGCAATATGTCTGTCAAGAAATTATCGTAAAATAAAAAAATCAAATGCATTTGCTTAAAAAGAAAAATATGAAACTCTTGATTGTAGTTATTGCTTATTATTCCTAATAATAAGCAATTATTATGACAGAATAATTGCTTATTATTAGGAAGAAAGATGGATTACACGTATAGTTTTCAATTGTTTATTGAATTAGTTTATTTTCCACATGGATGCTATTAAAATTGTTTTTAATTTTAAAAACATACTACTGTAGGTTCACACTATTATGGCAATAATTATGAATGATTATTGATAAATCGAATAAATGAAAGAAAAAAAGAGGAATGAAACGAATCACTGATTGGAGAATTAGGAAATTAGTGAATCAGTAAATCAGCAAATCAGTCAGTTCCAAAATCATAATGATAATAGTGAATAGGTGAATCTGTAAGCGAATTTTAAAAAGATTAAAAAATATATAAATCTTTAATTTGTATTACGTCTGTCGCACGACAGTAATTTTTTTAAAAAAATTTCGGCAATTCTCAAATTAAAATTACAATAAAGAATGCGAAATATTTAAATGTTTTGCCTATTTAAAATGACAACATATTTGTTTCGAAAATGTGGAAACAAAATATTTTAAGAGAATCCTAGAACTGTCGCCAACTAATCAATAAGTCATAAATAGTTTCGCAAGTTTTCAATCGCATACAAGAACCAAAAAACAAAAAAATCGACAAAAAATATTTCATGCTACTAATAGAGAAAGAAAAGACATTCATTCATCATACTTGAATGCATTCGAAATTATTTCTGCTCAAAAATCATAAAAGACTGCGAATGAAATTAATACTCACACTCCTAATTATTTTCGCAAAATTAAATAACTTTGAATTGAAATTATAGTATATTTATATATAGAAGTATAGTTTCATCCTGTAAGTTTAATTTAGATCACGATTTATTACCCTAACTCAGTGTTTCCCAAAGTGTGAGGGGTGCGGGAACAGTTTAGCAGGGGTTCGCGATCTCATGCGAAACATCTTACAACAAACGAAAATTGCAAACAATTTTATCTAAAAGCAAAGCTAGCCATGAAAATTTACGATTACGTATTTTTCTATTGGCTATTTTTTGCAGAGTTAACAGTTAATAATTAGTGATGTCAACAGCCAGTTGTGATTTTTAACTTTTGTTAAATTTTTTATGGTAGAAAATTACATTCATTTTACGTTACGAAAAATATAGAAAAGGTACACAAAAGTCATAAGTTTGGGAAACCCTAACTGAAAGAGATACGATTTTCAGTATTTTTCGGTAAGCCTGGCGCAAGCGAAAAATCGCCGAAAAATGTAGACCACCGCAAATTTTTTTAAAATTTTTTTTTATTTCTAATTTTACTTATTTTTTAAACGCATAAAAAATTAAATAAGATTTTAAAAAATTAAACAAAAATAAAAAAATAAATTTTAAGAAAGTAGTTAAAGTTTTTGCGCCCGGCTAATCGAAAAATACTATATTTTCTTGGAAATTAATAACTTTCATTCTATCTTTTTTGTATTAAATTTGTTCCAAGATACTAAATTGCGAAATGATTTGCTTTTGAATTAACAGATTTAATAGAATCGCAATAAAACTACTTTTCTAAAGTGCTTAAAAAATGGATTCTCCAAAATGTCATGTGTTTGTAGCATACTGCACTGTCAACCGCCATCTAGCAAAAACAAAATGTTCCTATAAATAGAATGAAGATAACATGTTTTATGTACTAGTAAATAGGAATTGAATAGTTGTAGTGGTAGCTACGCTAAAAGATAATATAACATTATGTATCGGAGAAATAAAATCTCAAAAAATGTTTGAACATTTTCGGAAGTAATAAAAAGTTCAGTAATTACGTATGGCAAAACTCTTCAAACTGTTAGCGATTTTGAACCAAAATATCGATCAAATTTGCTACAATCTTAATATGGTGCAAGTAACCATATAAAATTGTAAGCTGATCACTCTTAATCTTAATTAGAATAGAATCGTGGGCCCCTTGATTTGGCGACAATTTTCGTTCAGTTATGATGAAATCCCATTTCTGGTTAGCATGGTATTCTTTGTGGTCTATGCATTCAATGGCGTCACCTTCAGGTTGCCGAAACTTTTGTTTCCCTTTATGTGATTGGTTCTTGGTTTATTTACATATATATTCGTTTATTAGTAAATAGCCAAAAATGAGAGCCCCCCCCCCCATTGTAACCTATTACCCTTTAATTATTTGATACTTTGTGAACTTGGACCGGAAACATGATTCAATTTAACACCCTCTTAACAGTTGAAGCAAGATCGCTTGACATAATGGTTCAAGACTTCGACTCAACGCTGGATCTGTTCATTTATTTTATTTATTTATTTTTATCACAATCTGCAGCATTATTATAATTATGTAATTTATAAAGTTATGATTAAAACTAAAAAGCCAAAAATATTATACGTCAGTAATGCTTGGATAATCAGTCTTCGGCAAATGAATTAGTATTACTAATGCACCATTTTTGAAGCCTATTTGTTAAATAAGCTGTTAAAAATAAAACCAAAGAAAAAAATTAAAATTCATCACAATAAAACCTACTGCTTCGGTTTCTTCTTTTTGTCGTACAACCTGTGACAACGTTTGTTTAGAAACATCTGGACTTAATGTTTCAGTCATTTCTACATTAACAACAGCCATATTTCAAAGGATTGCCTTGGACTAAAGATGAATTTCAAGAGAAAAATTCTAAAAATTTTATGTTTTCTCAATAAAAGTGAATCTGCGTCTCTTGCTAATTTGATATTAAATAAAGGAATGAACTAGATAAAAAGTAAATATGTTTGGTAATACATGCGATAATGATTGCTCGTGAGAAAAAAAAAGTTGTAGTTTAGGAAATATGCAAAAAATATCATCAAATCACATGACCGAAAGATTTCATAATCGATCATTTTCGTGATATCTAAAGCAACAAAATGACGTCACGAATTAGCGTTAGAAATTTATGTGAAACAACAACGATTTCACATGTTTTCCATTTATAGATGCTCTTTTTAAACTTATTTTAATAAACGGAATATAAAATCAGTAAAAAGGTCAACTAAATTTTTAAAAAAATCGAAGTTAAAGTGATTGAGTGACTTGCTGCAAAAACAGTTATGACCTGATTCACGTAGGTAGGAAGATACTTTTATTAACGTCGCACTAGAGCTGCACGATGGGCTATTGGCGACGGTCTGGGAAACATCCCCGAAGATGATCCTTAGACATGCCCTCACAATATTGATCCTCTGCAGAGGGGATGGCTCCTCCACTTCGGTAGCCAGACGACCTGCGCGTGAAGTCGAGCACTTTACAATGGAACAGTTTAACAAGGACCGAAACCTCGAACCTTTGGTTCCTACGCAGGCTGATCAAAGTGGTTACCCACCCGCTTACTGACCGCCGCCACGATGTTTGGCTTCGATGTTTGAATTTTTAAAGTACGACTTTTTTTAAATTCAATTTCTCACGAACTTCTCGACCGATTTCTCTCAAATTTCGTATATTGCCATGTAAAATTATATTCTTTAAAATGATGTAAAAAAGTTTACACCTTACATTTCAATTTTTTTTTACTTTTATTAAATAACAAAAAATGATAAATATTTACTAAAAGTTATTTTTTACATAGATTTATCTTTGAATCAATGAAGTCTATAATCGTGTGAAATTTTTTTTTAAATTCGCTTAGAAATTTCTCATGATTTAGCGAAATACGCAAAAAGTAAAATTCCTATTAAGGGGACCAAACTACTGGGACCCTATTTTGCGCAGAGTACACCTCAATTTCAAGCTCCCTCTCTATAGGAATTGAATATCTTAGGCAAAAAAATAAATTTTGAGAATATAAAGCAACGGCTATTAACCGTAAAAAAAAGTTATAAAAAATTGTTAAAAAAACACCAGTGTAGGGACAGTCGAGATTTTTTTTTTTTTAATTATATTCGCTATTGCTATAAGCTATATTCGCTATTGCTATATTCGCTATAAGGCACAGTTATTGTTAACAGTCACTGGATAGTTGATAAAAATCGGTATAACGGTATAAAAGCTCAGTATGATGTTGTTCGGTTTACACATAAACAGTATTGCCTTCACTGATTTTGATTTTAAAAAAATTTCTATTCTGGTGTTTTTTAAAGTTCATGGTCATAATTTTTTTAAAAACTTAGTGTAAATGCCGTAGCCAACTCCGGGAAAATAGTAATTATAAAGTAACATATCTGTCATAGGAAAAAAGCTTGAGTTTGAAGGATCCGTTGCTCATCGACACTAATATATAGTGCTGCTATTAGAAGAATTCTTCCAGACATCAGTCTCGCGTCGTGGCGGGTACCATGGTTACGAGGTAAAGTCTCTTCGATCAGGGGTGTGGGGTGATCAGTTTTGTCTTGATTATTACCGAGGTCAGCTTGAGTAAACCAATTGAATTGAACAAAAAAAAATTTTTTTTAAATATCAAAATGCAAACAAATTATTGTAAGATAACTTCTCCATTGCGTAATCCTAAGTTATCTTCGAATAATTTATTTTCATTTTGATGTTTAAGAAACTTCTTTGCAGTATTTGAAACTTCACGGCTAACTCTAAGTTTGTCTGAACTCGCTTTTCACTTTAAATTAGTTATGGATGTGAAAGAGAATTTGCGACGAAAAGTTTCTCCTGAGGTATGGCGTCCTCTTAAGTGGAAGATTTCCTGTCAGTAATGGCGGTTTCCGGCTGCAACATTTCTATCGATTTACCCGACTTCTCAGACAATCTGTGTTGTTATGAGTAATCAGGAATGGAAGATAATTGATTCAATCAACCGCAGTATTTATGTTCTATATTAGTTTACATAAAATTACTAATTATGTAAGAAATAAACAATTAACAATTTGCCGTAAACTTTGAAGAAATACAACTTGCTAACATAATTCCAATGTTGCAAGTAAAAAAGTCCGATGGTTAAAGCTACAAATTAATTTACTTCATTAAGAAATTTTGCTTACAGAAAAAGTTAAAGCAGAAGAACATATAGTCTAAACATTTTTGCACTCTATTGTATATTCATACCGAAACTTTTCATGACTTTAATGCCAGTTGAGCTTGTTTTACAGACATTTCATTTTATTTTATAACCGGAGGTGAACAGACGACCCAATTTTGGGTTTGCGATTACTAATATTCAACTCCGCAACCTTATAATTTTGAACTTAATCCAGAGGACAAGGGAACTCCTAGGATCACGTATTGGGAGAAATTTGCCTTCGTGGAGGACTTTTTGATGGAACCAACCCGCCATTGCGTCACACGGAGAGGAAAACCACGAAAACCTCTCCAGGTTAGCCCGACGGCAAGGGGACTTTTACCCGTATACCATCTACCACTGAGGATATTTTTCGTCAGCACTGTGGTCGGTGTAAACCGGGTGCGGAATTCCTAACGACCAGACATCGCTGATATTCGAGCCCGGCTCACCTCATTGGAAAGCGAAAGCTCTATCCCCTGCGCCATCACGGCTCTTTTAAAGACAGTTGAAAACTAGCATCGCCTTTTTAACAAAAATAATTCTATTAAACATGATTAACTATATCAGCTAAGACATCATGTCAGGGGAGCCACGAACTTATATTTTTGGGATGGGTGAAATTCCTATTTCGTCAAATGAATATTCGAATTTGAATTTATTAGCGAATGCAATTTATTAGCTTCGATTTGAATTTATTAGTGAATGCAATTTATTAGCTTCTATTTAAAAAAATTATTTTGTTGCTAATATGCTCATAATACGTTAATTTTTCCACCTATATCTAAAATAGATGTTCTGAGAACCGTGCTTTAAAATAAAAATGTAGTTTCAGTGGTTAAAAAATATAATTATAAATAAAAAGTTTGCTGATTTTACTTAAATTACATTTGTTAAATAAATGTGAACAGTAATAAAGCAGGTATGGTAAATAGGACTTAATGTCTAATTTTTCCAGTTAAAATGCATAATAATTCAATAAATAAAATAAAACCAGCATATAAACAGATCAAAATAAAATTTTTAAATAATCTTCCGTTTGAATTAAATTTTACCTTTTTTTTTTCTCGTTGCATCGATGGTATTTCGTAAGAGCCCAACAATTTATGGAGAAGTGATTTCTATCGGCTTCCTTTTGAGCGAGTTTCTCATTAATTTCTTCTAAGTTTTATTAAATACCCCAATTTCTATGTCTTGATATTTTTTTATACTTTATTTTAATTGCATTAAAGGCTACGCTTTTTTCTACTTACTGCTCCCCAATCTTTGGAGCCCTATAATTTAATTCTTCTAAATAAATTAGAAATTTAAACATTGTTCGCAATTTCATTTGTGTTTTCTAAACAAAATGAGTGAAAATGAATTTTCGTAAATATGCCGAATGGTCAAGTTTGGAAATGTTTCGGGCGCCCCTGCATCATGTAAATTATTTCAAATATTAAGTAGTAGTATTATCTATAGATAAATCAGGTGCCTACAAAGACTTCTGCCTATTAATCCTTGGATGGTATTTTATTTCCACCCCCATTGGGGGCATTCACCTATATGCAGGGCTGGAAGTTCAAAATATAAAAATCAAGGAAAATATAGGAGCAATTTGTAATACCAACCTGGATTCGCATACGCAGATATAAAATTGGTAATAGTTTTAGTAGTTCCTGTACTTAAGTGAAAAAAAATTTTTTTTTTTAAAAACTCAGATTTTTTTTAAAAGTTACGCATTTTTTTTTTAATACAAAGAAAGAAGAGAAAATAGTCTAAATATGAAAAATCGTTAAGTAGTAGCAAAATACGAGGAATCTCTTGTGAAAAACAGTATGATATAGTGATGAGGAGGGAGTAGAGAAATAAGAACTCTTTATTTATTTCTTACATATCGAATGCTCTTATGCCATCAAATCAAGGGTAATTGTCTCTAATACTGAAAGTAGATTAATATCGTACTTGGCGAGCTATAAAGACTTTGTCGTTCATTTTGTTATTTACTTTGTTTCATGGTATATAACATAATTTTTGAATTTAAAATTTCTTCAATTCTTTTTTAGATCAATAATATTTTTTCTTCCTGGTAACTTTAACAAGAATTTAGAAAAAAAATCACAAAAAATTCAGGATATTTATTGATATGCTTAATAATTAAAGACACTTTCTTTTTTTTAAGGAAATCAAGGAGTTTATGGACAACTTTGAGCCCTGTATATGTCACTCAAAGGGGTCTGACTGCTTTAGCGAACGAATCTTGTATCACACTTGCTGATGCAAATGCAGTGGCCAGACCTACCACTCATCACAAACTGTGACTCACCGAGAATCCCAACATCCTAAATCGCAAGATTAAAGACTCATCACTATAAAGGCATGAAGATCCATCCTGATGAAACAAGATTTTACAAACAGAAAACTGTCACGAAATACAAACACTTACACAAGAACATATCGCTCATGGGCTGCAATAGTGGCACAACTCAAAAAACACGCGTTTTGGACTAAGAACATGTGCAAATATGAAAATACACATTCTTTTCAGCAGCAATACTAGCACAACTCATAATTCAACTTGAAGGTAATCTTTGTTTAAGCAAACTAAAGCATTTCCCTCAGCAATGAAAACTTTAAATCCACTTATCTCAAAACATGATTTTTTTAGTGGGGTCGCTATTGCAGCCCTTGAGCGATATATTTGATTGCCCAGCTTTCCCCCCAAAGAGCACTTAAGCTTAATCTAATTCTTTTAATCATTACCACAACCGCAATTGTTGCCACCTTTCATGGAGAGTCTAGTGTTGTTGCTTTTTTTTTCTTCTTTTTTTGCTAAATCCGTGGACATTAGAACAACAAATATTAGGAACTATCAATCACACAAAATTTAATATTTTACACTTCCACTAAACCAATCCAAATACTGCCAGGAAATTAGTGCTGTTGTTGCTTATCCTCTTAATCTGACATACCGTCAGATAAACTCCAGGACACAGTTGACCACAAGAAAATCCACAACAAAAAGAGGATCTGATGTAAGAACCTCCTCAGAAAGTCCAAGGCAAACCAGAATATGTTTCGGTGAAGCTGGTCGAACACAGCATTTTTTGCAAGTAAGGAAGATCGTTCTGTCTCCTTCAAAAGTACACTTAAGATGACCACTTGCAAATCTGGCCAAACAGTCTGGGTTCTTCGGTCGCATTTTATGTCCAGCAAGGTACCAGGGGATGTCCTAATATATCTCAATGAAGAATAACTTTACTTACCCTTTTATTTATAAAGAAATTTACAATATAAAAAATGACAATTTAAATATATCTTTGGACAATAATTAATATATTAATTATTGTGTGTATTTCAGTGTTTTGGAAAATATATTAATTTTAGTGCATCTTGCTTTCGCATGCCTGTTTAGGCAGAGGGGTGCGATTGTTCTTGTTTTCCAGTGGCGCCATCTATGGGCAAGAATTCAACTTCTGCCGCACTCCCGTTTATAGGGCGGACCCCGTTATAGGATACATCCACAGATCGTAATTTTGACCTGCATCAGAGAACGATCGATCTCCAATCCAGTACCCCCACAAGAGGTTTTGATTTGTTATGGGAACATGGAGGACATTGCGACTTGACAGATTTAACGTGCATCAGGCACCATTTATTACACGGGGAGTCTTCGGCCGGCGGGTTTCAAACCCATAAACTCTCAGACAATTAATTTTAGGAAATTAGCGTTTTATAGATGATTAAAAAAATTATAACAAACCCTAGCGCTTTTGGCTTGAAACAACAAACAAATTTAGGGAGTCAAGTTGAGTGTATAAGATAAATTTGTAACGTAATGATAAATTTGCAATGTATTACAAACTAATTTGGAAAAAAACATGCTACAAACAAACATGCATTCTATAGATATTTTTTTTATTTTTCTTCCATAAATACAACAAATGTATACATATATTTACAAATTCTGTAAAAGATGAAAAAGAAATTTTCAGGAACATTTCTTTTAAATATTCATCAGANAAACATTGGTACAAAAAAACATTACATTCAAAAAAACATTTCTTTTTGGCTGACATTTTTACCAATCTATATTTTTAAGAAAAAAAGTACAATTATCTTCTGGGTACAGATGGTCTTAAAAGAGATTCAAGTTCTCGGAATGAAATCTGAGCTACTTTTAAAATAAATGCCTGCAGAGCAAATTCCAAAAGAAGTGCGCCAAATCCCTTATAAAGTCCAAATGCACCTTCTTCGTTTATAATGGTATGAAAACAATCTGATACTCCTTCATATTTAGATATAACAGGAAGAACAGCAGCACCTGTGTCCAAGTCATCAATAATTGTTCGAGTTCCTTGGAGATACAATCTGTAAAATATTTACTAAATTAATTAAATGATTGATTCAAGTTATAGTTAGCTAGATGTCATAACACAGGATTGGCAACCTTTGTTCTATCGATTCCCTGCAACTGAATTTATGAATACTTTTTAGTTATGATTAATTAAAAAGTATTCATAAATTAATATGATTAATTAGTAATTATTGAATCAATAATGTTTCAGTTTATTACACATTATGTTCACCTAAAATAAACATTTGTACTAGAAATGGAGCTATAGAAGCAAAAAGAAAGCAAGAGTAAAAACTTAATTTTTTGCAGTAATTTAACTAATACTTGTGAAGGGAAATTGACATCAATTTTAACAGGTTGATGAAATTTTTACATCTTGTTTTTATATTTTTTTTAGTTCATCTCACATTATCATCCTTTATAGTAACACTTGCAATAAAAAAATAAATAGCAAAATTTTAATTGCTGCCAGTATAATATAAAAAGAATTAAGTAATCAGAAATAAAATTTTGGCAGATTAATCAATTTCATAATAAAAAACTATATAAAAATATTGCTTTAAATATAGATATGTGATATGATATTTTATTCATGGAGCATACATCTCTTAATAGTATGATACATTAACATCATAAAAGTAGTTTTAAACAATGAAACTAAGATCATTAAATGAGTGAAAATGCATTCAATAAAAATTCAAAAGCTTTTTTCAATAAATACTCCTAATTTATAAACAATAAAAACTATTTCCTGTAAATCATGCATTTTAAATTTATACAATTATCAATTATTTAAGCAAAAATATGACAAACTAAAATAAAACAGAATGGAAGAGGATAGAAATGTATGGTTAGCTACGTTCTAAATTTCCCCCCCATAAAGTTTTGAAATCTGTTAGAAAGTTTTCCATCAGAAGGTGCTGGTACATGAGTTAAAATAAAAAAACAATGTTTTAAAAATAACCATTATTTACAGCAACAAGAAAAATTGCTTTATGGTTTTTTCCAGTTAGCAGTGCCACCTGTTCTTAAAATCTGTAACTAAAATTGAAATAATAATCTTGTTTGCTAAGTACAGAAAACTATACACTTCTATCTTCTTCCATTATTTTTTAACTGATTTTCGAAATAGCCATTAGAGTCAGTCATTTTTCGGACACAAAACATAAACATCTGTAACTGCATATTACAGTGTGAACTAATACTTTTCACAACTTTGTTGTTCAAAAATAATAAAACAATAAATTCATTACTAAGTATTTATTAACGTAGTTCTATCAATTGTACAAGTCTCATTTTATTTCTTACTATACAAGCAACAGAACTTATCTTATTTACATTAGGTGTTACGGTATGTCAAACATTAAGGTTAACCCCATATATACCAAAACTATAAAAAAAATTTATAAATTCATAAGTTTTAAGTTAACACTTTTTTGAATACTGAACCATAAAATCCACGACCCATTGAAAAACAAATGAAATACTTCAGATAAAAGAAAACAAAGAATTTTTACTAAAAAATTTAACACATAGTTTTATATAATTTTTACTAAAAAACTTAACATATAGTTTTAAATTCATTTTTTCACCTGTACTGCTAAACTTTTCTATAAATACGCATAGTTTACATCACTGACTTAACAATTGAAAAAAGAAATTTTACATGACTCTTTTAGAAACAAATAAAAATACTAATAAGTTAATTATTTTTTTTAAAAAAATGAATTATTTTCAACAAAAAATCACTTCAGGAATCTTTGCTACTGCTGTTAGAATAAGAAACTTTCAATAACACGCTACATTTAAAGTTATCTTAAGTAAATATTTCAAAAAAGTTTAATCCCTTTTAAATGGGCATATACACAATTTCTAGATCGTAGACTCATAATAATTTTAAAATGTTACCTGTGTAATATTGTTTCCCCAGGATATAAAATTGTGCTTGCTATAAATGAACTTAAGTGAAGCATTGATAAATTCTCTAAGTAAGCAGATGTGGCACTTTGATTGGTTAAGAAATCAGCTCCCTCCTAAAAACAGACGAAACCAAATGAAATTTCTGTACAGTAAGAAAACAAAGCAGTATTTTAAGTAAAAAGAATTTTAAAAACTATTTCTAAGAAACTATTCAGCCCATTTAAGGAATCTTAGTAATCGAAAAGTAGTACTTCTTTTCAATTAGTGCTACAATTGATTATCTGCTTAACTGAAAAAAAAGAAAAAAAAAAAAAGGCTGTGAAAAACCATCCTTAAGTTGAGTGCATCCTAAAACAAAAATTGTGGAATAATAACACCCACAGCAGAATATGCTAAAAGGTGTGGCACACACGACAGATTAAGCACCTCATCTGCCAAACAATCAGAAGTATTAAAAAAAAATCAAGTTTTTTTTAGAATAATATTTTTTTATAATTTCTTAGAAAAGATTAAAAAAATTACGTTCTGAGCCAGGATTTATTTCATGGAGTCAAGTTTCCAGATCAGTCCATGATGTCAACGTGTTATAGATCGTAACCTCAGAAAGAAATGAAAAAACTGAAAACTCAAATGCACATATGGAGAAATGGCTGCTTGTGAAAAAGTAACTTGCTTAAAATGCAGGAATCATAGCATTTTAAAAAATTTGAAAGCGAATTACAAAAGTTTTTTTGTTGTAAACTTGCCTTTAAATGAATGAAGTATATTTAGTTTGAATAAAGATCATTGTCAGAGATCAATTCGATAACATGCCAACAAAAACATCATTTTATGATCCCTTTATTGTATATGTTATCAGCGATGGAATTAACATTAATATAACAAGAAAACTACTTTGAAGGAAGAATTATAGCAGACAAAGATACTATGAATAAATCAGTGTCATCGATTAAAGGTAAGAAATTTTCGGTAAAAAATTAGATGCTGAAATTTTCGCATAACATTAAAATGTGGGTGTATTTTTTATTAAATTATGTCGCTTTTTTGCAATATTTCGGCCCATTCGGGAGGTGTGATCTATAACATTTTTTTCTTCTAAATACATGAAGATTTTCTCTTTCTGCCTATTTTATAATCTCCCATTGCATCTGTTTGTTTTATATTAGATAAAATTTTCTGAAATGTCAGCTAATTTTATTATTTTATAATAGGGTCAGTACTAAATCCAATTAAATTTGCAATTGTGTACAACAGTAACAGCTAGTTACATGCAAGCAATGTGCTATTTTACATCTAATTATTAAATGAACTCTTTGGCACAATTATCTAAATTTGCTCACAGATAAAATGCATATATAATCTGCAGAACCTTTCTACTCATTAAAATGCTAGTTGCAGACGAAAACTTTTCTCTTCCCAGCTGTTGGAGTTGCAAATCTCGGATTGATGTAAACCAGCAATGACCAATCTCAGTTCCAGTTTACAAAAAATGATAAACTTGTTTCAATGAGGAAGGTTACCACAAAGGTTACAATAAGGAATTCGTTTTCAATTAGTGAATATTTATTTTGTCTCAAACTAGACATATTTGCTTTCATATTCATATTGAACAATGCAATTATTACAGTGTGGCCACAAAAAAAAAATCCACAAGGAATCAAAAAGAGCAGAGAAAATTTATCAATACGGAAAAAATCAGAGAACTTAATTACAATAACTAAAAGTGAGTGAAAATGAATTATTTTAGGAACCTAAAGGACCCATATTTTTTCTCTCCATAAAATCAGTCTAGTAAAAAACTTTTTCACAAAAAATTGCTACTTTAAACTTTAATATGAATAGTGTTTTGTAATATGTTTTTGCAGCATAAACAATAACTGAAAAATTAATAATAAAACTTATATTACAAAAGTTACAAAAATCTGGGTAAATGCAATAAAAATCAGTCCAGAAAATTCACAGAATTTTTTTCTAAGTATCAGTGGCCCCCCTCTATTATTTTTTCTCAAGTTAGAGTGATTGGAAAACAATTTTGGTTTATATTAAGCAAAACTTTTTGTTACGTGTTTTGATCTCAATGAGGTTTGATTGTACAATTAAAAGCAAAATTCAATATGAATTAATCAATATCTAAAGCCTCCTGACCATTCCAAGAGTTGGCTTGTCTTTCACCGATCTCATCCATCTCAGCAAAGAGTGAATTAAAGATGAAAGGATATAAACAGAACAACCATGCAATGCAGTCGGCCCAACTAGTTGCCACATCGGAAAGAGACGAGTGGATCGAGGAGTTCCCCATTTGAATAGTCGGCACAAACCTTCCTTCAAACAATCTAAAACACCTGGCTTTTCACTAGCGATGTCACTCTGAAATGAAAAGAATTAAAATAATGTTAGATGTCTTTTCAAAATATAAGCATGAAGCAAAAATATGAAATCATAAATAAAAGTCACAAATTTGCTTTAAAAGAAACAAATTTCTTGCAAAAGTTTGAACCCCAAAATAGAAACCTTTACAAAACTTCAATGGACAGATTTAAATGCTTTAAGAAAATCTCATGTTAAAAAAAAATGTAGACTAACATGAAAGTATATGCAAACAAGATCGCTTTAAAATCTGCTTAGGCAGTTCTGAATTCTGAAATTATAACACCATTTTCATTCTCCTTGTGTCTTAAAGAGATTTTAACTTATAATGCACTACAGATATGTGAAAAAGGAGAAAGATAAAATATGAACTCAACACAATGCTCAATATTTGTCAATGTTATTATGTAATCCAAAGAGATCAGTCATAACTTTCATGATGTACTTTAAGCTTAGTAAGAGTTACTTATAAATATATATCATTGCAAAACAATGAAACTCTTCGGCAAAAGATTAAACTTAAATGCCAATTTTCCAAACTAGCTATCAGTTCAGTAATACATCTAGTAATGTTATCAATATGCAAATTAGCCCACTTTTAAATTATTTTCACCATATAATTTTATGTAAGCATATTAATAATGTTATATATGACTTTACAAAAAGATATAAAAAAGTAATGTTCAAGTGTTTTTTCTTTTCGTTTTTGAATAGTCATTGTAAATCAATTTTTTTTTAACTCATAGTAAGAAAGAGGGAAGAGAGACTTACTTTTAATAGCGTATTAAAAAAATTGTCAGAACCAAATTTTTATTACTTAAGCGTAAGTCCATAATCTTGACTAAAAATTCAAAATAATTGAGGATAAATGGTAATACATAGTTGGTCCCTCTGATTAAGTATGGTCTTTTAAAAAATAAAATATTTATTCCCCTCCACTTGTTGCACCAGCCGTATGACAAAAGACTAAATTTTAGACAAATAAATTTGCAATGTGAAAATTTTTTTTAATTACATTCAATTAAAAATATTTCATTTTAAAAGACAAAATTTCGAAGAGTTTTTCTCTTATACTTCACATGCTGTGGATATTTGTTTGTACTTGCTTTTTGTCTGTTTATTCATTGGAAATACATTCGTACTAGTCATTTTGAAATACTAAATTAGAAGAATTTAAATTCAATTTTGTGTTACAAATATTGCCTCTATATACTTTTAAAACCGTTATATCTTTGAAATGATGGTAAATTAATAAAGGATATTAGATAATTTTCAACTGAAACTGATTAATAAATTATTTTATTTGAGCTGAATGTTATTATTTATCATTAATTGTTAAGAAAGATAACAATACCCTCAAAAAATAAAATAATTTGGTGCTAAATTTTAAAACTCTAAAATAATTCTTAAAAATTAATAGCATGTTTTTCAAGATTTGTTCAAAGCAGAAAAAAAAATGAATCACCCATAATAACTTTTGATCTAATGATCAAATCTTCATACACTAGACTTCTTAATTATTAGGACTCAATCTTGAGGGTTCAAAAGATTACCTCAATTATGTTTATTAATTAACGCAGACGAAATTGTAAGTTAAGAAATCAGACAAAAACGTATTTTCACTGAATAAATATACATCTTTTTCAATAGATTACGATATTTTACCCTCAAAATATGGGCAGCCGCAACCTGGGGAATATGGTACTAATAGTTTGGTCAAGAAAAGTTTGGACCCCTTAATGCTAATTTTACTTTTTGTATATTTTACCAAACTTTGAGTATTTTTTGATTGAATCAAAAAATTCTCGAAATACACAAAAAGGAAAACTAAAATTAAGGGGTCCAAACTAGTAAAACCATATTTACTTAAATACAAATACCCCCTATAGTTTGAGGATTAGAAATCATTATCCATCGAAAAAAAATTTATGTTAATTCAGATAAAATACATTTCTGTGTCCGATTTCTTAACTTAAAATATCGTCTGTGCTAATCCATTAGTATATTTGAGTTAACCCATCGAACACTCAAGATTGAGTCCTAGGCATGAAGTCTAATGTATAAAGATCTGAATATTAGATCAAAAGTTATTCTGAGTGATTCCTTTGTTTTTTTTCTTCCCCTGCACTGTATATAACAAATCTTGAAAAACATGTTCTTAATTTTTGAGCATTGCTTCATGGTTTTAAAATTCAGAGAAAATACATTTTTATGTCTGGTTTTATAACAATAAATATTGGTAGTACTAATCAATTAGCATATCTGAGGTTACTTTCCCGAATTATTAAGATTGAGTCCTAGTAAATAAAGATCCAATCATAAGATCAAAAGTGATTCAAGGTGACTAATTTTTTTTTTTTTTTTGCACTGTACTTCCTACAATTTTAATAATTTATTTATTTTTTTAATTATTTACTGCTCCTGAAATACTAAGTATTTTTTCCAAATTAATAAAATATATGAATAAAATTGGGAATATAATTAAACGCAAAATATAAAAGGAAGCTATGTGATCTCTTAACAATGCACTATATTATCAATAAAAAAAATTTAAAAAATCACAAACTAACCTGAACAGTTTCAACAAGGCTAGAGCAGTAGAAAGGTGTAAGGATTCCATAGGTAATTCTGTAAAACAAAAATCAAATCTTCAATTTTAAAAACAAACTTATCAAAAATTTGAATAAAAATAAAGACACAGCAAAAATTTTGTGTATAACTAAAATAGAATGATATAAATAATATGATAAACTAAATCGAAAATATTTAATTATTAATCTTTTAAAAATCATTATTTCTTGAAATTCTTGCTTATTTCTTGAAAATTAGTTCAATTATAAAAGAAAAAGGAAGGAAAAATTTATGCACAGAAATTCTGCTACTGGGACCATATTTCCCAGAAATCCTATTTAGTCGAAAAAAAGATATTCTTATTCACAAACTACGTTTTTGTGTCTGATTTTGTAGCTTAAAATATCATCTGCACTTATTAATTAGCATATTTGAGGTTACCTTCTCGAGCCATTTAGATTGATTCCTAGAACTTGAAAGATTCAATCATAAAATCAAAAGTTATTCAGAGTATTTCTTTTTTTCTTCCTTTTCTGTGCACTGTACATGATAGCAAAATTAATTGTCAATAGTAAAAAAAAAACTTTTAGGAAAAAATTTAAAAAACTTATTATCTGTAGCACCATAACCTAAGCAAAAAAATTAGATTATAGACTGTTTTTACCTCCGTCAAGTCAAAAACCAATTTTTGATCTCAAAATATACTATTGGTGCACTAAGCAAACACTGCAAAGTACAGTATAAAGAAGTATAAAACAAGTTATTAAAACATCAAACTATCATATTTAAAAATAATACCAAACAGTAAAAGTACTTACAATTTTAATAGAAGGTGCTGGGATAGTTGCTTAAGTGATATCCTAGATTTCACTTCTCTAAAATAACAGAATTCATTCTTAATTGTATAATTTATAATCAGATTATAAATAAAAAAATTTTTAAAAAAAACCTCTATTGAAGTTCCAAATACAATTTATGTCAATGAAAACTTCAATGTTTTAATCACTTCATGAAGAAGAATATATTATAAATTTAAATAACATGAAATGATTATAAAATAAATGATTTTTTTAAAAACTATTATTGAAAATTTCATTTTTTTTTTTTATATTGTTTGAGGCCCTTAGAAATTTTTTTAGGTTGAAATTTATGATAACATATCTTTAAAAAAGAATTTATACATTTTAAGAGGGATTGGTTTTCTGATCAGAAGTAAATTAGAAACTAAAACAAGCATAAGTGAACTCAATATTTATTTTGCAATTTTATTCAGAATAGGAATATTTTTATACTTTGTTCTATGGAGATTTGAAATATTTGTTCCATGGAACAAGAGCAGCCAAATTAGGTCACTTTATTTCTTCAGTTACATTTATAATTGTTGAAGAATATAGTTATAAAAATAATTGTTTAAAAATTGCAAAGTGACCTTTTATGAATGATGTGTCTTCATAATAGAATGTGGATTTTTTTTATAGGAAATGTAGTTGACTAAAATATCCAGTTAGAAGATTACAAAAATAATTTACTGAAGTTATTTATGCAAGTCATTATTTTTCAGTACAAAACTTAGTGCAATAAATTTATAACTATTATAAATATTGATTGATCAGTTGTCATGATGTTTGGTTTCTAACATATTAAGCAGGGTTTACATTACTAATTATAAAGCATTTTATCTAATGAATATCAAAACAGAAAGTTAAAATGGCATATATTCCTCATTTGAGGACATATATTTTTCAGATTCACATTTGTGCATGTTGTTCTCATTTTGAGACTCTAAACAGTTCTTGCAGAACATGTGGTAGGCATTCAAGACAGCTAAAAGGATCTCTTTAGAAATCGATGGAGGTATCTAAATGTTTCTTAAAAACCCAAATGAAAAATTCATGAATAAGAGGATTAATTTTTAACCATATAGTTGTCACACAAACTGGAAATTTGCAAGAATTATCTCCTTCATGAATGGTTAACTGTATAATGCGTAAATCAAGGCAATGCTTGCAGTTGAAATTCTTAAAGACACTTTCGGATTACAACTTCGAATTTATTTTTACTAAAGATGTAACGAATAGTGATTTGACCAAATAGCAGAATGCTGAACATTCTGTCAAAAAAGAAGTTTGGTGCAGAAGTTTGTCTGGTCACCAGGAGAAAAATTCCATGATTTCCAAAAGCGGTCGCAAATGGAGGTGGTCGCTACATAGAGATGGTCTTTCACCATAGGAGGTTTCACTATATATGTAAATTTCAAAAACATTTAATTTGTATCATAATGCCAATGAAAAAAGAAAGAAACAATATTTTTAAGAAAAAGAGAAGAAAAATATTAACCTAGGTAAAGGTGTAATTTCTGCAATAAATGTCTCTAATGCTGCTGAGCATCCTCTTAGTATAAATATACTACTACATCCCTTCCAAAGACAAATTAAACCCTAAATAAAAATAACAGGATAAAATAAATTATTGAAAAGACAAAGAACTAAAGAATAGAAAACTTAAAATACAATATTAACAATAAAATCCAAATATTTATGGTTCAGATACCTGTCTATTTTGTAATCTTATCACAACTGGAATGAATGTTAAAGGACTCAGGTGATACCTTGATGCTTTTCGGTTAACCTTGGGGAAAAAATCAATCATGAGAAAAATATATAAAACGTAAAAATATAGAAAAAGAGAATAAAAAAAGCAATAATTGCAACTCATATATAACAGAAGAAATCAGTAAAAAAAAAATAGCGAAATACGGCTGGGATTAGTATTTTAGAATACTGCTAATAATATTGGATGCAGTCAATAAATAATTCGTTACAGACTATTAAACCAAAAGTGTTGAATTCTGAAAAGTACATTAGTTGTTGTAAAAGCAGTGGTAAAAGGGTGATAACTGATTAGTGTCAGCCTAAGCATTACATTTCAGAATGCAATGTGTAATTACAATTTTCAATATGTTTATATCATGCTCTATAACAAATTTGAAAGTATGATGGAATTTATTAATTAAAATAATCAAAATAATTTTATAACACTAAAATAAAATTTGTGTAATTTACCTGGCATTGCCGTCTGAGTACAATGCATGGATGCGCTATCACATTGCTAATTATACCACTAGAAAAAAATAGAATTTCAGTCGGAAACATAACATTTCTAGTAATAAGACAAGTCATAAGAATAAATAAAAAAAATTTGTAATAATTCATGAGGTATTTTAAAATATTTTGTAAAATTACTGTCAGTAATCAAAGTGAAAACAAAACAAATTCAACCCTCTCCTATCTTGGTGGACCAGGGTGTTCCTTTCTCTCTGGTGTTTTCCACTTTGACCTGTCAAGCTGGGGTAACCTAACCAGTAACTGAGTTACCACTCATTGAAGAACTTTACATGGTGATTAATCAAGAAAAACACCAACAATAAAAGATACTGATGTATAATTGACCATCTATATAAGTTGACCTCTAGAAAGAATTTGCTTATGCTTTATAAAAGGCGTCGAATACACCAAAAATTGCAGATGCGACACAAAAAATAAGTTATGATGGGCCCTGGACACATACTTCTCCTGCACGAATTGAAAAATAGCACACTTATAGATCCATGTAAGCAAAACTAAAATACTTTTACGTTTTCGGAAATTTTTTTTCTCTTTTAATTAAAAACTGAAAGAGAAATTTACAATAATTTTCAGTAACAGTGGCATAAATAACACTCCTTCAACCACTAAGGCATGGAGGGGAGGTCCAGGGCACACATTTCAAAGAAAATAACACTATAAGTTACAGTAAAAATATTTTTTAATTCATAAAATATTTTTTAATTAATGTATAAATAATACCTCTTAATTAAACTATAAATATACTGATTGTAAGATGGTGTATAATTTTCTTGTATTATTAAAATAAATTTTATTCCAATGTAAGTGCATACAATGTTCCATCCAATATAGTACCTTTTCTAAAAATTTCACTTTTACATTGCAATTATGATTTTCATTATCTTAAATTGAAATTAATGATTGAAATAAAATGATAATAATGATGAATGAATAATGATTAAAATGAAATTAATGCCCCAATATCTCATCACCACACACACATATTCCTCTTTACTCTGAACAAGAGTATAGGGCTTCTATCATAGCTTTCCATCTCACTATTTGTGGCCAGATAATGTATGTGGCCTCTCTCCATGTCTTTGCTATTGTTTTCAATTTGTCCACAATCCTCCTGCACCAAATATTTTTTAGGTCCTTCTCTTTTTCTATTAGCCCTCAGGGTTCCAATCAAAAACTTGTTTTACTTTAAATTTTTCTTTCAACTTTATGTAGAACATGACCAATCCATTTCCATTTTTAATTTCCAGATCAATCGGTTTCTGTTTTGCTTTTCTAAGGATTTATGCATTACAAATTTTATGGAGCCATTTGATATGCAAGATCTGTATCAGATCCATATAGTAGGACAGATTTAGCATTAAAACTGAAAATTCTAACTTTTGTTAAATTTGTTATGTTTTTGTTTCTTCTGAATTTATTGAGAATTTCATAAATGCTTCTAGCTTTGTTTAATCTCATCACCATAGTATTTTATTTATATTATAATTTTATATTTTTTATTGTAAGTCTAAGTTAGGATACACTTATAAATCTTGAGGAGAGGAGACGCACTTAAGTCTATTTATGCCACTACTGAGTATCAAATTACATCATTGCTATTCATTGATGCAGATGTTTAATCAGTTCTAATTAAAAGCATCGATAGTTCAATTTTAACTCTTGATTTTTAATTCTTTGTTTTATCAATAAATAAATAATATATTATGAATCTGGGAAATAATATATGGATGAAGAAGTTTCGATTTAACCATATGGACCCATTTTTAGTAGCATGTTTTCTAATTATAGAAGCAGGTTTTCTAAGGACCCATAATTTCCAAAGTTTAGTTGAATTCAGACTCTATTATCAAGATTCATATTTATGTTCCAAAATAATTAGGAGTAAAAACCTTTAGAACTTGACCACCGGTCTACATTGTATGTTGACTGTTGAAATAGGTTAAATTTGTCTATATGCGTTATTGAATACTATTATATAAACCCTTTATAAATTGACCCAAAAAAAAAAAAAAGATTATGAAAAAGCCTCAAGATGTTTTCCACACTATTATATTTAGCAATAAAATTAAATTTTATAAGTATATTAGTATTAAGAGTGCACGTAAATTTTTTGTGAATGGACCATATAAGAAATTATTATGGGCTTCTGTAACAAAGGAGTGCATATGCAACATAAAAAAAGATCAATTTTAACATATTTGCAGCCAATCCCACGCCACCACATGATTAAATTCTTCCTAGTAGTTTGTGTCAATAAAACAGATCAAGTGATAACAAGATGCATATTAAGTCATCCAAGAGCATATTATTCATCCAACTAATTTTGCAGAAAATATGATATTTTTTCTTGACAATAACATATTGTTTATAAAAATAAACATATTGTGAATTTTAAAAACTAAAATGGTTGTTAAAAAAGGAAAATTTAACTTTTATTTTATTTTTATCAATTACCATTTTTCAATGATAGATACAGCATAAACAGCAGTTCTGAGCTGACAGTGAACATGTAAAAATTATGAGATGAATATAATGTTGTCCCGCAGTGGACTGATCCCAGCAGATCATTGATGTCAAGCATCACTGGCTACGTTCAGTGTGCAAGTGGGTGACCACTTGGATCAGTCTGCGTAGGGACCGAGGGTGTGCGGTATTGGTCCTCGTTAAACTGTGCTACCGTAAAGTGATCGACTTCGCACGCAGGTCGTCGGGCTACCGAAGCAGGGGTGCCATCCCTTCCGCATAGGATCAAAATTGTGATGGCATGTCTTCGGATCATCCTCTGGGATGTGTCCCAGACCGTCGCCAATAGCCCATCGTGCAGCTCTATTGCGACGTAAAATTAACAATAACAGTAATATAATGTCAGTTTTTTAATTGCATATATGTTGGTGGATATTTATATCTTAAGAAAGTAACATTAAAAAAACTGGCAAACATCATTAACATAATAAGCATACTTGTTTTCTTTTAAACTAATTAGTTTAAGCTTCATAAGATACACATACATATTAGTTTAAATTATATGACAAATTGCAATCCATCAACCATTGCAATCATTTCTTAAAATATATTCCAATCATTTTCTAAAATATATGGTATGCATGTTTGTTAAATTAGATTTGAATATCATGTTTAAAGAATTTAAATAAATTTATCTTAATTTTGATTCATAATATTAAAAGATTTATTAGATGAACAGTATAATTATATCCAAGAATAACGTGATGCAAAAAATATTAATAAAATAATAATTCACAGGCTCAGCCACGTCTGTACGTTGATAACTATAATAATGCACTTTAGGTGGTCAGATTACACAGATTTCACTTTAAATAAAACAAGCAAATACACAAAAAGGAAATGAGTGTGCTTTTTTAAAAGAAATTGATATAACTTAGAAAACTATATATTGGGGTTCCCAAAGAAAGGGAAATAAAATTTGATGAAATAATTTATCTGTCACCTAAACTGATGCAATACTCATTGCAATTGCATTCAAAGAAAAGTTGGATGTAAACAAGGGAAAATTTTGTGTTTAAACAATTATTTACAAATGCAAACATTACTATAAAGGAAACTTAAAAATTTATTATATTATAAGGACATGTCATTAATCCTTACCTGGTTATTTCTAAGCCAAGATGAGCAAATCTCTGAACAGGATCTACAAACATAACGAACGTTATAAATAAGCACAAAATCTAATATTGAAATTTAAAACAGTAATTTATTAAATTCAAATTTTAGAAGAAGAAAAATTTCCGGATAGATTACCAGAATCAGAGTTAGTTGGAATATTGTCAGAAGGCAAAGAAGAATATTTAGCATCGATTGGAGGATAACTGTAAGATGTTGATGGACGAGACAGTGAATCGTTATTAACACTCTCTTCGTCGATAGGCATCAATTCAAATGGAACTTTAGAAGACATTTTCAAATCTAAATAAATATTTTCAAAAAGAACTTTTTATCTCAGACCATCACTTCTCCTTAAATTTAAGTAAATTTTGAAGGTGAATCTATCAGAAAATCGAAAACAGCAGACAGTTTATATCATTAACGATGAGTGTTGCCAGAAGCTAACACATATTTTAGTTTTTAATCAATTTTAAGTAAAAATCTCACTAAAATTTTTAAACGTTATATTGCTCATGATTGAAAATTGAACAATATAAACAAATACATAGATAGCTGATTGTTTAATAAATAATTTAACGACCTCAATTTCAGATTTAAATTAGCACATAAGTAAATGCATCTGAATAATAATGTATTAATTATTGCTGGCAGCATTATCATTGATCAATCAATCAATTTGCTACTTGTTACGAAACCATGCAAATCATTCTGCTCAAAGTACTCATTCTGTACAGGAAGTGGAAATTTAGTGTTTCTGCTGAAAGCGGCGAGTGATTTTCTTTATCGCTTCAATCTTCTGGCAATGTAGTGATTTTCTTTATTGATAAAATTCTTTTAGGACATACAAAATTCACTTAACTATATATAAATATGGATGCCAGTGCTTTTAAAGCTACAAAGAATTTGATCAAACACTACTCTGATCATGCATTGCAATCTTACGAGAGCCGGCGAAAGAAAATAATTAATCTACTCAATAAAAAATTATGCCCCGAAGAAGGTTGGGAAGACTCCGAGATAGAAACATTTTTGCATGAGCTTGCAATGATGGACAGTAATAATTTTTTGGGTAGTTGTGGTGTTGGAGAAAGGGAAGCTAGATTCGCATCAAAAATCGTTGCCCGTCGGCATTATTATATGGGTCATGGTATCGGCAGATCTGGTGATATAACAGAAATACAACCTAAAGCTGCCGGTTCCAGTCTTATTGGACTATTATCCAATTTTATGGTTTTGGATTTATTGAAATCAATTGGAGTACCAAGTTTGCAAAAATGTATCATAGTGCCTTTAGCTACCGGTATGGGTATTTTATTATGCCTTCGAACACTTCACAGCCTTAGACCAAAGTCAAAATTCGTTTTATGGCCAAGACTAGACCAGAAATCCTGTTTTAAATGCATAGTTACAGCTGGTTTTACACCAGTAATTATAGAAAATGTTAGTGCTGAGGATGGTTTGATTGGTTCGCTGGATGAAATTCAAAACACAGTTGAAAAGGTAGGTCCGGAAAATATTGTATGCATACTGAGTACGGTATCGAGTTTTGCACCTAAAGTTCCTGATGACATTACGGGTATAGCAAAATTGTGCAAGTCGTATGATATTCCTCATCTTATAAACAATGCTTATGGCATCCAATGTCCTCAGTATTTAAGTACTATTGAGCTTGCAGCCAAGGATAGAGTTGATTTGTTTGTTTCCAGTACAGATAAGAACTTTATGGTTCCTGTTGGTGGTTCAATTATTTGCGGATTTAATAAGAAAACGGTAGAACTGGTTGGGAAAATGTACCCAGGTCGTGGATCAGGTGCGCCTTCTACTGATTTATTTATCACTTTATTAAACATTGGCAAAAAAGGATACATAAAACTTTTAGATGAAAGAGAAAGGAATTTTTTGTACTTAAAGTCTGCTCTTGGCGAAGTAGCAGATGAATATGGTGGTAAAGTTCTTGTAACACCAGGAAATAAACTTTCTGTGGCTTTTGCTTTTTCCCAACTTGAATCTTTGCATCATAAACTTTTTACTGAAATAGGATCTATGCTGTTTTCGAAATTTGTTATGGGATCGCGGCTTGTTGCCCCTGGGGATCATAAAACTATATGTGGCTTTGAATTTAAAAATTGGGGATCTCACACTAATGAAAGTTTTGTGGGTTATCTGACTGCATCCGCAACTATTGGTGTTGAAAGGAAGGATATTGACAACTTTATAAAGCATTTTAAAATTACTCTCCATAAAGTGCAAAAACAAGTGAACTTAAAAGTTCTGTGTGAAAATTATAAAACTGTTTCTCAGCCAGATTGTTCTTAGAACATTTGAAAAATTTCTGACAAAGAAATTGTGTTCATTTGTAAAATTATTTAAGCATATTTATTTATTGTTAAGAAATGTATTTATTTTCCTTTAGATAATTATTTATTTTGTATTCAGGAGCAGAGTTACATAGTTAAAGAAAAGAAGTGAATACAATTTTATTCCACACTATATTAGGAGATGGAACAATAGATTTTCTAGAGTTGTATTTTGTAATCAATTTTATTTATTGTTTTTCTTATTTCTTCTTGCAGTAACTCTGAAGCTCTTAGGCTGTTAATTATTTATATATATTTACAAATTATTTTATATTAACAGAGTTCATTCTGGGTGGGTTTTGCTGGCGTGCCACCCTGTTTGCCATTTAAGCAAAAAATGTGCACCCTCCATACCCTTTAAACGTGATGACAAGTCCAAATTGTTCATTAAAAAAATTGTCTATTCATGTTTTTTTCTTCTTTTTTTTGTAAATCAATCTGGTTTTTGAAAAGTTTTTTTGCTGTTTTTCTTTCGTTTTTTATTTAATATGTTATTATGATTTATTAATACATTATTACGACTTTCAAATTTCAGATATCACTTTTTTTTAATGAGATCATTTTGTTTCGATTCCAACATGATTTTACTATTCCGATGATAGATTTTCAGAAGTTATTTATCAATTTTCGGCTCCTTTTTCTTGATTTTTCAAATTCCAATATTTTTAATATGATGTTATTAACAATGTTCGAATTTGAGTTACCTCTTTTTGATGTGTTCAATTCATAATGATTCCATTGAAACTTTGCATTGCTGAATGATATATTTCTGTTTATCATTTTTCTGCCTTTGCCTCACAGTTTTTAAAATTTCTATATTTTTAAATACATTATTAGGAAGTAAGACATTTTTCAACCGTTTCCACTTATCTTTTTCTAAATCTGATATTCTTTATATGATGTTATTATGAAAAGCGTGTATTTCGAAGTTAAAGAGTCATATTTTGACGTGTTTGATTCGCAACAATTTTACTGTAAACCATGATGCTTATTGATAGTTTGTTTTTTTCCCTCAGCTATTTCCACATAGTTTTTTCAATACCGATATTTTTAATATGATATGGCTGGCAAATTTCATATTTTAGTTATAACTTCTTAAAACTTGATACATGACAATTTCATCATAAAAACATTAAAAATAGTCATTACAGTTACTTATCAGTTTTCTCAGCTATTTTGACATTGTTTTTAAAATCCTAATATTTTTTACTACATTAATATTTCAATCTGCATCATTTTAAAAAAATGAGAGGATTTCGCTTATTTTAAAACAGATTTGTAGTATGTGCTAATTTAACTGAGAAATTATTTTAAAATCAAACAATTACTTTGAAAATTAAGAACTTTATACATTTCTGGGTTTCTTAAAAGCAATGCAAATTTTTGTGTAATACTGAGCCCTTCTCTTTGTAATGAGTTGCCCAGTTTCAAGCATCCTGCCCTTTTTAATGTCTAGAATGAACCTGGTATTACTATAAAGAAAAATTTAACTGGGTTTTCAATTGTGCCCCAACACTATTTTTGAAATCATATAATATGAATAGTAATAACTTGTAAAATATTATCTGAAATTATAATTGAATTAGAAATCATATAATTTGAATATTAATAACATGCAAAATATTATCTGAAACTAGAAATCTCTTGAGCTGATTATTTTTGGTTCTCAAGAAATCCAGTATAACATATATTCTGATTATCCTTAACTATAGCTCCGATTTTCAAGTGTAAACAAAAATATTTTTGGCACTCCCCTACATTAAGAATAATGATAAATATGTATGGAGTAAAAAAAATTTTATTCATAATTTTAAAAATAAGTCAGTCTACGAACTTTATTATTTTTATATATATAAATAAAAATGCGGTACAAACTACTTATATTATATAATGTACTTTTATTTAAATTCGATGGAGCGAAAAAATGTCCTACCCTAAGCAATTTCAGAACAGCAATTAAAATATTAGATATCTATATTATATTTGCATTTTTTATCTACTTATCATTTATGCCTGGTATTCTGAAATAAAAAGAAAGTATTGTTTGCACACAATTGTAAATCTTACTATTTATACTTTGAAATTATTTTATTTGATATTGATCAAAAAAATTGGGTAATAAGGTATAACATTTTATCTTGCTTCATAATATAACATGTTGAAATATAAAACATGAACAAAATATTGCCAAAAATTCAAATTTTCTCAAATGTATACACATTGAATTATTGAGATGTATAGAGATGTTTCATTCAAAAATTTCTTTCCTTGATTATGTGAATTCACTGCTAAATATTTATTATAAAAAAAAAATTTCTATTATATTTCTTTAGTACATTTCTTTATATTATTCATCACCCATATTCAGGATTTTTTTTATGGATTGTTTCGCACAACACGTCTTCAATAATTGTGTAAAATTTAATGAATAGTAGCACTATTTCAATCACCCATCATGACCTTTTTATTTATCACCTTTTACTCATATTTTTATTTATTTATTTTGGGGGGGGAGGGGTGGAATGTTTCACTATCAAATTCTCATCACTTATATGATCACTGACTTCACATGGCCATAAAACGTGGGTGCCTCGATTTTTCTTTTTTTCAATTAGAATCTTCTATTGATAACAAGTTTTGAAATTTTACCATCTAACTAGACTGTAAGATTCCTAAAACAATATTGTGAAATTTGTGTGTAGAATATTTCAGGCAAACGCACAAAGTTTGGGGGAAATTCAGGCAATGCTGAGGAAATTTTTAGTCTAATTAAAATATATTGCTGTAAAATAATTTACTCTTAAAAAAATGAAGCAACCACATGATGTAACTTTTACAAAAAAACAGCCATAGTGTTTTTTATAAAAGTTTGAAATTTCATAGTGTAATGACTAAATTTAGCAACTTATTTCTTTCTTTTTTTTTCGATTCAAAAATAGAGGGAAAAAATAATTACTAAAAATTTGTTTTAGAGAATTAAAACGGTCTAGAATATTTTCAATAACAAGGACAATAGGTAGAATATTCTGTTTCTTGCAACAAATATGTTATTACTAATACAAATATTTTTCTTAGCCAAGAAATTGCTGGTTACTAAGAACAAAACACAGCAATCATTTTTAATTTAGTGTCTGGCGCAAGCATTGCTTCTACCCCACATCCTCCCAGTAAATAACAATAAACAAATCATAAACCCCATTTAGGTGCCTTTGTAATATTTTAATGCTGGCAAATAAAATATTTAGTTAGCTTTTGTAAACAATACTAAAGTTTTATCTTTGTAAATAGATGTATTTCATTAAAGTTGCAAAAAATTGTGTTCACGCATTGTGCCTGCAACAAATTGAGATCGGTACAAATTGTACTCATTAAGAATTGTGCCCACTACGAATTGAGACTAGACACATATAACAAGTGGAGATTATATACTTAAAAATAAAATTTATAGAAAATAGGTTTATCGTTGATTCCTTTCAACCCTCAAACTTATCTAACTAATAACATTTGAATCCTCCAGCTTCTAGATCTTGGAAAACCGAGTTTTACCTTAAATGGATAGATTTAGTTGATATAAAAGATTTTTTAAGAATGTAATAGTTTTAAAATAGATTTCATGACTTTCAGCGATAATCTAAAGGAACGTTAATAAATTGTACAAAATATTAAAGCAGATAGTTAATCAGTTTTCCTAAATCTAACTAATGAATATAAAATAAATCACAAACTGAAAAGATATTTGAATAAATTATAATTTGATGTTATTGTCTATCAGAAGTTGGGAGAGTTTATGTTTTTGTGAAAACCATCATCAAACCGGAATGGTAAAATAATTTTTTTTTTAAAACAGTATAAGTAATAATTAAAACTGAACTGAGAAAAAATTAGGAAGGCAAATTAGAATGACAACTCACAAGAAATATTCAGAAAAAAAAACTCCAAAAGAAAAACCTAAGTGAAAAAACAGGAGGTTAACCTCTTCAGAGAATAGTATGCAGTAGACTTAGCATACTTGACTATAAATTGAAATCTGCAACATAATTTATAGCAGACTTCAATGTGGTTCAAAATAAAAACCCAGGCATTTTACAAAAAAAAAAAATCCAGAATATCAGGACGAATGCTAAAAATGAAGACATAATATTTTTGATCAAGACAACTATGAGCCCTTTCATGTAACCTGAATGGTAAACTCTTAAAAAATTTGTTGAATTTTCTAGAAGAAAATATTTATTTCATTGCACTCTATTTTTTTTCCAACATAATTTAAGCTTTTAGACTACTATGTACAGAAAATATATATATTGCAAATCAAAATATGTTAATAGGCATATTAAGGATTAACAAATTTAAACAAACAATATTAACAAAATATCTTTTTTTGCAAATGTTATAAATTTGTGCGTGCTAATATAATATTGCATGCATAAGAATATAGGCATAGTAGTGAAAGTTTTATTGCTTAGATTTCAATAAAAATTTACATTTTTAGAAATTTATAGGTTTTAAGTTAACCTACTCCATGTCTCAGAGCTTACTTGATAAAGTATTTTTTATAGTATGAGTAGATAGTTCTTTTTTATAATTATAACCACATATATTCTCATTAATTGTTTAATGAGAGTAGGTAAATTACTTTGGTTGGTTCTAATAATTAATTATAACTAATTTAGCAACGATTCAAAAAGAAAAAATTTTTACTTCGTAATTCATGAATCAAAAGAATAATTTCAGTACAGTTTAAATAATATGCTTACATTGCAAACAAAAATTTTAGATTAGTATTTCCATTTATCATACCTCTGTTTAAATCGCACCATATGAACCTGTTCTGAGGCAATAAAAATTTTCACTTTGCTGTTCATCTTTATCAAGTTTATCTATAGAGTGAAAAGAAAAAAACAATTTTCTACCCTCTTAAATGCTCCTAGTACAAAACTTATTAAAATTAATTAGGTCAATGGAATTTATACAGAAAATATTCCATATTAGTAATTGAATTTTCAAAACAAAAGAGATTTGAATAAGAGGGGTAATTGTGAGCCCAACTCAAAAATCCTGAAAATTTCGTGAGTAAAATCATTAATGACTCATTTCAAAAAATTAGTGTTTTTATAAATGTAAATCATTGATATTTTCAAAACATGGAATTCTAAATAAATTATATGCAGAATTTAAATGAATAATTATGTATAAGTTTACTTTTATCTCTAATCACATTTATTATTCTACCAGATATATACAATATTTCCAAATGAAAGAGATGCAAAGTATTAATTCTAGTTCTAATATTTTTAAATAAAATATACAAGAATTTTTATTTATAAATGCGATCTATGATTTCTTGAAGCTTCTGGACCTTTGATTTCCGGGCGCGGTTAGCGAAAAATCTGGAACTCCGGATTTTTTCCAGAGCACAATCATCTCTGGAATAACAAAATGCGGCCTGTTTGCTTAAAAACTCATGAAAATAGAATTAATGGAAGTAGATTTTCATTGAAAGATCAGACAGTTGGTAGAAATACTATATTTCAATGACTAACATCTGCTTAATATGAAAAATCGAAATATACTATTGAAACAAAATACACAGGAGATAGAATGTTATCAAGAAAATCTAATGAGCAAACAGTATATTCCAAAAAGATAAATATATGTTCACATTATTCAGCCCATTTAGAGGGAAAAGTTCATTATTAAAAACCTTTAAATTGCAATAAACATTTAAAATAAATTAAACAATTTTTCATACTTTGAGAGTTTCTCAAACCACCTAAACAGTTGTAAAATAATAAAAATATAGCCAAAAAACTTTCCTTCATAGTGAAATATTAATTTTGACTAATTATGTCATTTACAATATAGTAAAACAGCTAAATGAAAACTTATAGAAAAGTCATTTTAAAAATATTAAAAAAAATTCAAATTTTCTTGTATCAGATTTTTATGCTTCCATTGTAAGTTGGTGCAGTGGATCTCTAATGATTTAAAAATATATTTATCTTTATCACAGAATAATTAGTTTAAGAAAATATATTAGTTTTGTACTAAATGAGATAAAGTATCAACATATCAAATGTGTTTCTTGAAATTTACTTTTTTTTAAAAAAAATTTTGTTTCTCTTCCCTTTTATATATATATTTGAATGCATATTTTATTTGTGCATCAATAAGTAATAAATATTGTAACTGAATCAATGCAATGATGTAAGATTTTAAAGCAGTGCAATGGACAGATTTTTAACTTATTGTATTGTATGGCAGTGAATGTCGGCTATTAAATTTTAACTTTCTATCTAAATCTGAAGAAAATACAACTAACTTAATACAGCTTGTGTTATCAAATCGTATTGTATGAGATGGCTTGGATTTTTTTTTTTTTTTAGTTGTACAAATTCTAACCCTTAAAAGAGGTGACCTTTGCAGGCGTAGGGAATACTGGGAAACGTAAAGACTTATATAGAACCAGAGCTCAACGCATCAAAAACCAATCATTCGGTCACCATAGTACCAAATCGGATTCATTGGAAGAAGCTTTTACAATTGCACTACAGTCTACTGATAAAGCCTAGGCTTACAGAATACTGTAGTGCAATTGAAGAAGATGAATCTTTAGATGATTATGCTATTCTTATTAAGTTCTTAGGCAGGTCTAAAATATATTTGATGAAATCATAAAAATATACATGAAGATGTAGCAATAAATCCTCTCTCGCATATTCTTCAATAGAATTACACTTTAGGCTGATTCTGCTCAAGTGAAAAGCCTTCAAGAATTTTTTTTTTTTTTTATATATATAAAGTGAGCCTAAATGCTTACTAAATTGGTTATTACAATAAAAAAAGGTTTGAACTCTAAAATGTTGACTTCTAAATTCAGGCAAAATTAAAATTGTATGTGTTTAGAATTAAATTAGAAGCACATGTTTTCTTTCCTTCATTAATATTCTAAATTGAAAATAAAAGTTACTAATTCCTTTATATTGATAATGATAAATAATATTCCTTATTATTAATGTAATTAGTTCACTTTAAAAATTTAGAACATAAGTGGTTTTCAAACTCAATTTTACAAGGATGCCATAAAATAATATAGATAAATTTCTGTTTTAAATCCTTATTTTTATGTTTTGTTCGAAATTGATAAATAAGGTGCTTTCAGCCAGACATAATTCCAATGAGTGCCTAAATGCATGATTCTAAAACAGTTTGAAACTAACTGCCATAACTCTTCAACTGTAAAACTACTACTAAAAATATAAACTGTTTGTAAATATTTTAATCGAACACTGTTTTGCAATTAAAAACTATAGTATTAAACTAATTTAATACCCAAGAAAACAAACTGAGTTCAGAATAGAGAGTTGAATAAAAATTATCTAGCTATTTGATGGGCACCAGAATTTAAATATAACTTTGACTGGAATTAAATGTTTAGTAACTAATGGGGATTTATTGTGGAAAAATAAACTACAATATTGGCAATTTTTAAACAATAAAAATAATTTATGTACATAGTGGAAAATTCTATAATGATAACAAGTAATTTCTTATATCATTCCCAGTTTCCCAAGATATAACAAATGCTTTAACATCCCGAGCAGGCATTTTCTCCAGTGCTCTTAACAGTCTGTGGCCAGCTCTAGCAAAAATATAATCATTCATTCCCAGTCTAACAGCTGGACATACATCGTTTCGACCATCTCCAATGTACAATGTTCTAGTAAAATGTGTACCTTCTTCTAATCTTTTAGCATTATAATTGACTAGAATTTCACCTTTACAAAGGTTAGGAGGGCATCTTTTACAAGAGCTCTTATGAAACTCTTGAATTTGAAGACAGCCTTCTTCATCGAATTCAGCTGGGTTGGTGAATATTGCAGATATTATTCGATCCAATTGATAGTGCTTTAAAAATTCTTGGATAAAAAAGGAGTTAGCATCAGAGACGATGATTAATTCACAATCCCCACTTTCGTGCATTTGATACAAAAGATCTTTCATACCGGTCATAGGTTGCAAACTTGAAATGCAGCGAACATAATCTTCTTTTGTAACATTATTCTTGAAGAGAAATTTAAACATTTCACGCATATAAGCTGTCCAACCATTTGATACTTTGGACATAGCTTCAATTTCTTCAGGGATGGTTATTCCATTTGCTAAAGATTTTATTTCTACATCTGTATTGGCATCAACTAAAGTATGATCGAAATCCACGCATACCAAGACTTTATCCATCTGCAATATGAAAAGGATTTTTAATGTTATGAACAGTTTATTTCTCAAAAGTAAAATAAAAATTACAACAATAAAATAAGTGATTATTGCCCTAAACAACAATCAAAATTGAAGCATTTAATAAAAAAAGAAAAGAAAAACTTAAGAAATAAAATATTGTCCTTTTTCAGAGTTAAGTGATTTGATTTAAATTTACAATATAAAATGTATCCTTTAAAAACTAATTTAAATGATTGTTCTACAAATATCGCAAAACTCATATGCATGGGTGAGAAATTCGTCACCTTGAAATATGTTTGGAATTCACAAAATATTAACGAAAAACAGTTCTTTGCATCAAATTTCAAACATTTAAAAAAATTACTGTACTTATTTTATTGTTCTGCAGATGGTTTGTAATTCAAATGTGGTATTCAAATGGAATAACAGAAAGTGCCTGTACAAAAAATTTTAAATTTAAGCATTGAAATTTCAAATTTCCATGTTGTACTGTGCTTTGCTTTCATGTACTGACAACATGATTGTTCATTGAATAAAATATTTTTTGCTCTAATTTTTAAATAATGAATATTTAATATAATATTTTGTTAATTCTTAGTTTCTCCGTTTGACTCATTTATTTATTTGGTCTCATTTATTTATTTGGTTGGTTATTTAATCTCTTTGTTGAATCGATTTCATAATATTATTTTAGCTTTTTTACACTTAATTTTAATAAATAATAATCTTTAATCATCATGGGCTAATGAACCCAATTAGTTTTAGGGTGTTATAGATGACAATAATTAATTTTTAATGCGTACCATGAATTATGAAATTGTAAAGTTTGATTTTTTTTTCTCAAGTTTGTCAACCTTATAAAGTTTTTGAACAACTAAATGAATATCTAAATGATCCTATTGAATAACTAAATTTTCATTGCTGGTGTGACCTTTATTGATTAGCATCAAGAACAGAGTTTTCTCTCTCCCTTTTTATTAAAAAAATAAACAATATGAACCTTTTTTTATAGATTTCATTAAATTTCTTACTTGTTTATTTTGTAAATTTGTTTTAAAAGTAAATAAACCATAAAAATGATTCAGAATTAAATTAAAAATACATAATTTTTAAAGATTAATAAGCACTTTTTATAATTTTATTTTAATATTTTGTTAACTTTAATAATTTATTTAGATCTTTAATTTATGCAAACTGAAAAAAATTAGAGTTTATAGGAGTATTATAATACTGACTGACTATTGAAAAATTTTCTTTAAAAAAAATAAACAATTTATTACGCTATGAATTGCAAAACTTATAAAATTTCAAGGAATAAAATGACTTTTAGAAAAAAAAATTTTTTTTTTCCATCACGTAATTAAATTAAACCATTTTTTTTAAAATCTCCGTTTTAACATTATATAAAATGGACATTCATTTTTAAAAAAATTAATTCATTAAATTTAAAAAATAAATTGTTGAATTTGTGTCCCGTTAATGCAAAACATGGAAAAAGGAAGTTCATTTTTGCTATCAAAAAAGGAGAAGAGATCTAAAATCACCAAAAATTGTTTGACTTATACTCAAATGACCCACTACTTCAATTTAATTAGAATTTTTGATACCTAAAATTTAAAAACACCAAGGATAAGGTTTACATTAAATTTTCAACAAAAAAAAATAATAATTTACGACTCATTTTGATCAGAGAGCAATTTCCAAAATTGGTTTATATATAGTATGTAGACCTGAGATAGTGAAATTTTTCCGATAAATGAGTGTGTGAAATTATTTTCAGGTGTCTAGTGAGACACTTGTTCTCCTCTTGAAAAATAATTTTTTAACCATTATACTCTAATTTTAAACTTCTGAATTATATTGTATAAGTATATTTGCTATTTAGTTTCAAACTAGCTCCAAATGAAAATCAAATAAACAGTATTTTAAAATTATTTCACTTTAATATTAAGCTAAGTTAAATATCCTAAAATAAGCACCCTTTGTAGTAAGCAATAAAATGAAATTAGGATAAGGGAAGAATGAATGAAAAATTATTAGTAAGTTTTCATAGATCTCTTCTGTAAAATGGATTTGCAGAGTAGAGAGGATGCAGAAATATGCAACTTTAGACCCTAGAAAAATATGGCATTAAAATGTTATTTTTTTTCTCAATTTTGTTTCCGTTCAAAATATTAAGAAAAATAGACATTTGATAAATTGCAGATTGCTTTTCCACTTTTTTCTCAGAATGTTAAGTCATATTCATTTGTTAGACATTTTTAAAAACTACTAAATATATTGAAGATAACTTTGATGAAAGATTTAGTATAGAAATAAATCAACATTCAATTGAAACATAGTATGTTTTAGGACTAATAGAATTCAAAATAATTAATTAAAACTTTAACAACTTTACATTAGCTTGTGCATCATCAATTTTAAAGTTTTTTTTTTATCTAAAAATTAGGTCTACTTAAAAAACAAAACAATATGCCTTCAAATAATTCACTTTCAAAAAGTTTGTCACAAGTATAGTGCATATATATAATACATTTTTATGAGAAAAAAATATTCTGTTTTATGTCTAACCAAACATTTGTTTTTGTAGTGATTTTTTACTCAAAGTTTACATTGATACCATGCATTTAAAAATGTGGAACTGCGCAAATTGAATAAAATAACATATTGAGAATGCTTAAAGTGGAACGAGAGATTTTTTTTACTTTCGTCTGCTGATATATGTTTGATGCTTTTTTAATGCTCATTCATTTAAATAAAAAAAAAATAAAAAACTACATAAGTAATTTTGCTATGAAACCAATTAAATTGGGGTATAAGAGATCGTTAACTTTTTAAGTTAAAAACTATGATTTTAATAAAAGACGAAATTTCTTTAGTTTAATGACTTTTCACATTTCAAGAAAGCTAAAATAATTAAGATATTAAATAATTTTTCTTATATAAATGGAATCAAGATCAAATTTCAAATACGTCACTTGTATGATAACAGAAAAATCGTAACAACGTTCAGTAATGTAACTAAAATACAATAAAGTTCGTCCACTAGGTAAAAAATTTACAGTGTAATAAAAGAAAATATTTTCAAACTAAAGAATTATAAGTAAATTTTATTTGATCTTTAACATCAACATCGAACATCCGTGCCAATGCCAGACGACATCAGCTGTAAGAAAACAAAACTTCAACTTCTGCCAGAACCATAAACATTTTTTTCCTTTTTAATTTTAAAATAATTCAATTTATTTTTAAAGAATTGTTCCGACGTATGAAAAAAAACTTTCTTTTTTTAGACATTTCAATAATATTTTTCATACAATATTCTTTTCAACTTGATACTTCATTTTCAACTGTTTAAGCTATAAGCATATACTATATTCCCTTAGAACATTTTTATTGTTACTCGTTTTGCAGTTCTCAGCCGATAAATGCAAAAAAAGTTGTTTTGAGCTTGATTTAAAACTCCTGTTTTGTTTACTCTATACTCGTAGTTGAAAGGAAATTAATAATATATTTTTAAAAGCTGTTAATAAAGTTTTCTATAATGGCCGATAATGTAACTGCTTCTAAATCAATAAAAGAGGAACCTGTATCTGATTCTGATGAACCGGTCATTTGTGATACCATCACCAGAGCTGCAAAACGCTCTAGAAATACTTATGAGGATGTTGATATTAAGACTGAAGCAAAATTAGATGATGCTTCTGTTCCAAAGATTGAATTGACAATCAAAACAACAAAAGAAGAAAAACTTCTTAAAGTACCTGAAGAATCCACAACAAACGAGGTATGAATGATTCTTTTGATTTTGTTAATAAGTATCAACATTGTAAATTATTTTTGTGAATAATTTATAGGTATATTGTTACAAAAAAGTGACTGCAATGAATATTAATTATGCTTATTCAACAAAGAAAATAATTCGTTTATAGATGTTGAAAGAGTCATTAACGCAATTAAGAATGAATCAAAATAAGAAATTAATTGAAAGTTACAGTTCAAGTAAGGCACATGTTTTAAATATAGAATAAATTTAGTCTTTAAAAACCATTGCTTTGCATAATCCAGACCAGGGATGGGCAAACTACGGCCCGCGAGCCAACTGTGGCCCGCCGGAAGTTTTTATCCGGCCCGCGGATAGAATTTTAATTTGCCGATCAGTGGAAAAATTAAAATTATTTCTGTTTTTCCTTTTTTAACAAAGTACTGATGACCTTTTTACTTTCTCTATTTTTGTTCTACAAAACATAAATTGACGGAAATAGTTAGCACAGACAGCTTCAATTGGTAAGATGTTGAAAGCAGAAGTTCGTCATAGAATAGCTTTAGATTGGCTCTAACTAGCGTTTGTCTTTCTCGAGGAATCTAATATACGTAAATTGTACTTCACATTTGGCAGACTGCGCATTTTAAGAACCAATGAGCGGACAATCTAACAATCATCTGAAGCAGTTGCTTCTAAATATGCCAAAGTTTTTCAAATCATTACCAAAAGCTAGTTTCCAAAATTTAATACTTCATGGCCAGAAAATCAGCGCTATGTTTGCTTAATCTTATATGTGTGAACAAGAGTTTTCAACTATAAACCTTAGAAAAAATTATTTCAGTAGTGGACTAACAGAAAAGCATTTAGCCTTGTTCCTTAAAATAAGCACATCTCACTTCGAACCTTAATATAAGGAACTTTTAAAAATAAAATCGCAATTTCATTCATCTCACTAAATATTTAAATGAAAACTTGTATATCGCTTTTTTTTAAATTTTGAAAGTTTTATTTGGTCTACCAAACATTATTTTTTTCTAAATTTTTGGCCCTTGACCAAAAAAGTTTGCCCATCCCTGATCCAGACAATCTACCAATCTGTGTTAAGGCTAAAATGATTAATAAATCTTCAAAATTTAGGCACATAAATAGATACATAAATTTTTCTGACATAACTGATTACTATGCACAAGGAATCTTAATTGAAATACTACTTACTCTTTTATTTCTTTTAACAATAAACAGTTCAACTGTCATTTTAATAATCAAAAAATGTATTCAATACTAAATAAAATATCTCAGATTGTACTTTAACATGGGTTGTAGCATTTTTAAAAGGTGCTTATTTTCGTTTTTTAAGAGCCCTTAAAGGTTCTTTTTTTATTGGGTGTTTTTAAAAAGTGCTTAATTTTCCCTTTTCGAAAATGAGATTTATGAAAGGGAATGTCGATTTTCCCCACGTATTGTGTAAAAATGTGCTTTTCATATTTTTCTATTCAACGTTTTCAAAATTCATTCAACCACACTCAATTTCAGCATACCACCAGTCCATAGCGTATGATAGCGCCAATAATTTTACAGGTTAGGTAAAATACTTGCGAGTCCGCATGTGGGTCTAGTGAGCTGGGTTCGGTGAGATTCTTGCACTCTCATGTGCATCTCTGCTGCATTTTGCAAGATATTCTCAATTTCAAGCTTCATTTTCCACCCTCTGAAATCGAACCGAAAAATCTCTTGATCATTTTTTAATGACTAATATTATCAAGAAAAAAGTTCTTTGTCAAATTCTAGTTATTTTATCATGATCATGTAAAGTCTTTGAAAATTATTTTGCATTTTGTTAATGTACATAGTGCTTAAAATTATTATTGAGCGTTTAAAAGGTGCTTATTTTTTGTTGAAAGATTTGGCTACGCACCCTGTTTAAGGATTTAGTCTTCTAAGTTTTAGTTAGTTTTGTAACACATTCTTTATTACCTGATAATAAATTATTGTTGAAAAATAAATATAGCTGAGTTGGAGAATGGTGAGCATACCATTAATTATTGTGCATTCCTGTGACATGTTGGTCACTGCATACATATAGGTTGTCTGTAAGTTGATAATGTCAAGGCAAAGTTAATTCCCTTTAATATTCTCTATAAAAGTTTTAAAGAATGTTTGAGTTTAAATATTTGGAAGCCATCTCTTAATGATTCAAACTCTAAACACATCCTTATATGCATATTTTCTTTTCAGTCTTCCTTTTCGTATCTATTGTACTCAAATTTTATTTATCTAATCACTTATATTATTACTACATGACATGTTTTTAAATGAATATGAAATTAAAATTGTTAAACAATATAAATAAAAATGGGAAAATTTAAATACAAGAAAAACTAAATATAAAAATTCGCAAATACGGCACTTCATCAGGGGACAGGCGGCCCTGCAAACATGCTGGAGCCTTTCAGTTGAAGGTGGCAAGACCCAAAACTGACAGTGCCCCGAGGCCTCATAATGACTTTAGATTTTGTTTTTCTTGTAATAAAATTCTCACATTATTATTTATATTGTTTAAGACTATTTCGGTTTTAGTTACTCTTTAGCACTTTTTCATTTTGACTTGTTATTTTTGAATTAAATTTTGTTCTGAATTTTTGTTTAATTCTATTTTCATACTTTGATTGAATTAAAATTATTAAGTAACCAAATTATTATTATTTATTTTCTAGCTAAAAGAGAAAGTATCAGAAGAGTTTAATATTAGCACTGATCAGCTCTGTCTCATTTTCTCAGGAAAGGTTCTTAAAGAAGATGAAAGCTTAAAATCTCTAGGTAATCTTTTCAATTTGATTTTTTATTAAAAACAAAAATCTATAATAATTGTTTATTCCTACATCTTAAAATCTCATTAGTTTTAAATAACTTAATAGAGATTACTTAATCGACAAATTTAAGAATGGTGAAACAGATATGCATTATGTTGTCAAAAAATTATTAGAATTTTTTTCCAACAATTATTGGCATACACATGGGTATGTTCAAAGTTTTTGGTCAGAGACTAAGGCAAAATATTTTTCATTATCAAGCTTAAAAAAATCGTAATTTAACTATTCAGTTGTTGGTATATTTATTATGAAACAATACATTAAGATAGTTTGATCTAAATAGCAGAATTATATATATATACATAACTTAACAAACATTCATTCCGCAGAACTGTTTTTTCTGCGGAATGAATGTTATGGCAGGCATTATTTTGAATGGAATGTTAAAAGGTTTGTTGGTAGTATTGAATGTGAAAAGATTTAATATGATTAGGGAGTAAATTTTTCATTGCTCTGCATTTGCTAAACCGGTGATTAAAGTTTGGTATGATTTCTAATTATTTTAAAGAAAGGAAATAAAATACATGCTTTTATAAGTGTGTAACTTCAATGTATTTTTTATGCCTGTTTAACATTGTCAAATAGTAGCTGTGTGTTTCTGCATTGCTATATTTTTATAAAACTTGCAACAGATATATTTATATATCAAAGCATGTTTAACATTGTAAAATAATAATTTGATATTTACTCAATATGTGATCTGTCTGTGTAATAGACATTCATGTTTTAAATATTTTAGTTTTAATGTTGTTCTTTAAGTGCAGCTATTCAGTGTACATTCGCCCGGTATACCCTGCAGTGATGGTTAAATTCCACTGCCCAATATGTATTTTTCACTTTCAAATTACGGTTTTCTTTGTTATTGCTAATTGCAATTTTTGGTGGCAATTGTAAAAGCCTACTTTCAGCTTTGGCAACAGTTTCGTGACAAGTGGCAACAGATCATTTCGGCATTTTTTGAAATCTTGTCAAGTTTGTAACATATACTCTGATTTTACCCATTCATTTTAGTTACTAGGTGGTTTTATAGGTTTGGTGTAAAACATTTTTAAGGAATCATTTAAAAGTTTGATTGAATTTGATTGGTGTAAGTATGTATAGTGTTCTTAATACATCTACATCTCTGCGTTTTTATTTTTGTTGAAATGCTTTTATAAAAATCTTTTTGCTAACTGATTTCTTTTATTAATAAAATTCCATGTTTTAAAAATCTTTGAAGAATAGTGATGTTAAAAAAATACATTTCTCACTTGTATAACGACAACAATGTAGCTGACTTACATGTTAATAAATAGATATTATGAAAAATATTATTAAATTAAAACATGTGGTTTATCACATTACTTTAATGCATGCATAAGTTTTAAGGAATATTATCAAACAAATAGTATTAATTGCCTAAACTTAATAAATATTGAAAAGTAAATTTTTCTTTCATCTTGGAGGAAATTTTATAATTAATTCATTGTTTTTGTTTATAATTAGGAGTTCAAGATGGGAATATCATCCATGTGGTGACTAAAGCTGCAAAAGTAAATATTGTTTGTTATTTTAGAAAAAAAATTGTGTAAGTGTTATTTGAGTTTTCTTACATTATTTTTTAATTTTAGACTTCACCTAACATTGATGCCTCACCATTTGGTTTAAATGCTTTTGGTGGCTTGCCAGGCTTAGGCAATATAGGAATTGGTTCTCCTAATTTTTTGGAACTACAACAACAAATGCAAAAAGAAGTAGGCTATTATTAATGATATTGCTATATGATATGTATAATTAATAAACATCACTTCTACTGATATTATAATACAGATATTGCTCTCGTGTATTAAATTAGCACTTTTACAGTTTATTACTTTAATGGAGTATTTTATTTAGGAGGGTAGTGCTTACTAATCTTTTTTCATTCCTGTTGATAAATATTTTTTATTTGTGTATACTTCCTTTTAAATTGTCTTACTTATGTATCCAAAAAACAAAAAGTTTATGTTTCTTAAGGCCTGGTTTCTTAGGACAGGTCGGCGTTGCAAAGCGTCAGCTTGAAGCGAACGCTAACCTCTGATTTGCCAATTTGTGAGTTTGACAGCATAGGTCATGGAACGCTCAGCTTGACCGACAACTGCCGTCCACATCAACTGCAGTTGGATTACCATGTGGCATTAACAACAGAAGCAATGGCGGACAACATCCAACAGCACCTTGAAATCAGCCAAGATTTTGATTTGGAGGAGAAATTAATCTCTGAAATTAAAAAGCGACCTAATTTGTATAGTGTCAGATCTAAATCTTACAAAGATTTAGTGCTTAAAAACAATTTGTGGTTACAGATTGAAAAAGAGACAGGAATTGCAGGTTAGTACAAGTTTACTATTATATACTTGCAAGCATATTTATTTTTGTAGCTGTAAATATGTATTTCTATTATAAGAAGACCCCTTTTTTAAAATATATATTACTTAAAAAAATTTTTAGTCATGTATATATTATTGCATCTACATGAGATTGGGACCAGTCAGATTATGAATTAAACAGCAAGACAGTTAGGGTTCATTGACTATTTACTTTAGTTTTTATATAAGAGGTCTAAAGAACTTAATAGATTTTTTTTTTAGAAAAATATGTAGATGTTTGCCGTGCTTTGCTAATTATACCTTTCGAGTTAGTCCTTTTCTGTGATATTTTTCTTAGTTTCTCGCGGGCCATTGCCTTGAAGCTGCCAAGACTTGGCGATTATTCTGCCACAGATCATAGGATGATCCTTNTAAGCATGGAACAGAGGTGCATCATTTTTGGCTGCTAAAAAGCTGTCTAAAAAGAAAAATTAATTTTGGACATCTTTTTTTAACGTAAAAAAATCCATATTCAATAATTGCATTAAGATTTCACTTTGCTGCTCTTATTTGCATTCTTAAAAATTAAATGCATGAGTTTAGATCTTAGTTAAACTTTGTTACCCATTATAGTTTTTTCACTTTTATACTTTTTTTACCCATTATATTTTTGTAACCTATTATATTTTATTGTCTTTAGTTGATATGTTAAAGAAAAAGTGGAAAACAATTAGAGATTATTACACCAGAAATAAAAGGAAGCTTTCTGATGGTTCTGCCGCAAAACGAAAATCCATTGATATGCAAAGAATGGACTCTTTGAGATTTTTAGAAGGAACATACATATTGAAAAATGAGTAAGAATTTTTAATGAAAATGTTATTTACACAAAATAACTTTTATGTAGTAAATAATCTCAGTGATTAGTGCTTTATTTTTCAAAAAAAAATATTTTTTGGAAATTACTTTTTAATGATGAAAAAGATAGGTGACAGTCAGGATAAACCTGAAAATTTAAAATTTCAGTCAGTTGCCAATGATCAATACACTCTAAAAACTTAGCAACCACTTTTTTCTTAAACCTAATAGTTCTGTGACTGATATCGATACGCCCAAACCTAATAATTCTGTGACTGATTTTCATACGCACTTTTAATTTTAGAGCCAGTACATGCAAAAATTTTTTTGCTTATATTAAATTATATTTAAAAGAAATCATATAAAAAATAATCAACTGCTATAAATTAAATGTTAATTGATCGAAATTTGGAGCAGCATCAGTTGACATTTGAACGAAAATTGTGTAGATTATCCTTGGGATGATAGTTTCAAGCAAGATATTACATTTACTTCCATCATTTGCACCTGTTTTACAAATTTATGTTTTATTAAAAGATTGTTTAATTTCAGAACGCTCTCTAATGTCCAGGCATCAACTTCATCAGAAAACCAGTACGATATGGAACTGTTTGCCGAAGGCGATAATGAGAGTATCTGCTATGAAGATGATGATACACTACCAACAGACACAGATCAGAGTTTGGTGGTTATCGAAGAGGGTAATGATGTTCCTTTTGAAGAAACAAACCAACCCTATACCTCCTCTAACAACCAATCTAGTACTAGGCAAAGGGTTAGCCAAAAAGAGCGCTTCTGGCAGGAACTGCAAGCTTCAAGGAAAGAAAGAACAGAAATTTTAAAGTCCTTGCTAAAGGAGGAAGAAGATGAAATAGATCTTTTTTTTAAGTATATTGCCATGACTGTAAAGTCTTTTCCACAAAGACTGAAACTTGAGGCAAAGAGAAAAATTGCTAATATAATATTTGATCTTGAGGAAAAAAACATTAATAATTGATACTTTGTTAAAATTATTATGCATAATATCTATATATATATGTACATATATATAAATAAATCTTTGATAATCTATAAAAAAAATATGAATACTGTATTTTATGTAAACCAAAACTTAAATCTTTTGTTGGCGTTTCTGTTCTCTACAAATCAATGATATTAAAACAATCCTATCTGGTTCACACAATTCGATTTTTATCCAAATATTAAGTATAAAAGATTATTTTTACAATGTGATTAATAAATTCCTCTTTTAGTGTGTGATTAAGTTTGATTAGGGTGTAATAATGAAGAATTTTATTTAGAAATAATAATAAAACACGAATGTTCCTTTCGTTATTTCATTAAAGAAAATCAATTTAATCGAAAATGGACTGAGCGTGTTGAGAGTAGTATTAAACTTTTAAATTATAATTTCCCATTAAATGTATATAAAATCACTTTAAGGAAAAATCAGTTTCAATTACACCCATTTAGTTTTCTGCTGATATAAATACAGGTCATATATATAGTTTTTTCAAAGAAGATTTGCAGTATGTTATAATTCTTTTAAAGTGAATCTTAATTTAATAATAAATATAATAATGTGTTCATACTAATCAAGAAGATTGTGTAAAAATAAGTCAGAAATTTATAATACAATAAGGTGAAAATTGTGTACATTTAATTGAGAATTATATAATACAATAGACACTTTTTTAAAAATAAACAATTTTTTAATTAAGATTTATTTTGAAAAATATTGAAAATGCAGCAAATGGCAAGTGGGTATATTTTTTGCATAGAATAGCATAAATTGATTGCAGACGTTAAATTGATTATGTACAGTTTTTATAATTAATTTGCAGAACCATTCAATTATTTTTTTAAACGAAAATTGTAAAATTCCTATTATGTTCGCTTGACTTTCCCTGCTTACCATTTTAAGGAACCATCTTTACTACTGAAATATTTTGCAATATTTTCTCTTGTGGGTTCAGCTTTAAAAGAAGCATGATTGTTGTTTGAAGCGGCGAGTTTCATTGAGTTCTTTTTGGGCAGCTGCAAACTTTTTTCTTTCCCCTGTTCCTTCGGCCAAGCTACATTTCTACGACGAAGCATATTGTGTAGGATACAACTCACTAAAATTAGCTTGTTTACCATAGTAATTTTGCATGCAATTGTCGTAAAAAAACTCGAAAATATTGACATGAAATACCGAAAGCATTTTCTGATGTCCTCCTTGCCCTGCAATGCCGATTTCTCTTCATCGCAGAGGGCTTGATATTCAGACTAGGGCTTCATCATATTGCCGGTTAAGCGAATGCCGCGTCACCTACGAACATATGCGAACTTAGAACTTTGGTATGTGGGAGACATTTCGGTTCAGGAAGTTTAATGACTCCTAACTCTACATTCTTCTTTAAATTAGAGTTTTGAAAGATAGTAATGTCATCTTTTTTACCATATGATCCCACATCTACTGAAATGAAACAATAATGAGCATCTACTAATGCCAGCAAAACAGTAGAAAAATAATCCTTGTAACAAAAATACACCCTGCCACTTTTTTTCGGACACAGAATCTTAATATGTTTTCCATCAATAGCACCACAGCAATTAGGATAATTCCACAATCTAGAAAATTCTTTTTCACTGCTCTTAAATATTTCTTCTGTTGGTTGTGGCATATATAAGGGCATGGCGTTCTTTATTATGCTTTATAAAACTTCTTCAATAATATGGCTAATCCAGGTATGACCTCAGTAATAAACATTTTTACTTATTTTTAGCATAAAAAATCTACCAAATACAGAATTTTAAAAACAAAAATTTGAAATATGGAAGAGATTTCCATATTGTGATCTGTGGCAGAATAATCACCAAGTCTTTGCAACTTCCGGTAGCGGCCCGCAAGAAACTAAAATAAAGAAATCACAAAAAGGGACCAACATGAAAGGTATAACTCAAAGCCACCCCTGGGCAAACATCTACATATTTTTGTTTTAAAGCTTAAAATCTATTTGGCACCTTGGTGATTGCAGTTGGCGGGACAGATCAAAATATGGAAATATCCCTAAAATATGTTGTTTTTTTTCGATTTTTTTGTGAAATTTAAATAAGAAATATTTTGCTTCATAAACTATTAAAGTGTTATTAAAACAGTAAAATTCATAAATGATATAAAATATTGTATAAGTAACAAGCTAATGATATTATGCATATTTTTTGCCATGAAACAATGACAAATAAAAATAAATTAATTCTTACTTAAGTGTTAGACATAGTTTCTCTTCCTTTGAGATCGGCTGTCTTCGGTTATATGCACGACTTGATATATTGCATTCAACAATGTCGTACAATTCTTTGAAAAGCTCTGGCGTAAAACAGAAGTACTGACGAAATTTTTCTGCATTGAAAAATAAATCTCTTAATCAGTATAGCATAAGTACCTTCAATAGCTCTATTTGTGAAGATTTCATAGACTTCTTCATTTTTAAAGAAGGCATTAAACATAACTTCTTCCTCCTCTTCGTCATTCAACAAAGCTATAATATATTTTTTCTTGGACAAGGTCATTTTTTTGGTCAACAATAACACATAAAGTTATAGAATCGAGCTGCAAAATCAAATAAACATTTGTTTATGTCGTTAACACATGCGCAATGCAAGATAATGTCTGCGTTGGAGCGACTGCTCACGCTGAGCTAACAAACCAGTATTTTGTTGGCATCAGGGTAACATCAACTTAACGCCGACGCCCAGAGAAAGCGCTTGTCCTAAGAAACCAGGCCTTTAGGCAAACAAATTTTTTAAGCAATCATTGAAAGTTAACACGACTTTCATTTAGTATTACATTTTCAAGAAAAAAGTCATTATTATTATAACTTAGAATTGAAATATTTTCCTTTCTGATAAAAATGAATTTACATTGAAAAGAAACAATTAATTTCAAATATAATTTAATGGATCAATCCAAATTTATTGACTGTACAAAAAACTGTATATTAATTTATTTCTTCAAAATGAGAAAATGTAATTTAAATCTTTAATCATGGAAGTGCTATAGAATAGTAAAAGAATGATGTTGCCATAAAATACAGAATATCTACTTTTTTAAAACGTTGCGCAAAATTGGGACTTCAAACTTAATCTTGGAAAAAATAAGTCTTACCGAGTTTCAAAATGTGAGTGCAGATGTTTTCACACGGTTCCAAGATATTCCCACTTATGTTCCTGTCATTAGCGGACTCATTCGAGAAGAAACTGTAGAGTTCATGTAAATTTTTGTAAGACATTTTTCACAAATTCATTTATTTATATTCTCATTACTTATAACCTTACGATTCTGAATGTACCCAACTTCAAGTTAGTATTACTATTTAATCTCTATCTTTTAAATTTCAATGTGACAAAATTTTTATTAATTCCAATTATTAAAATTTGTACTATTGGTATAACAGATTTTTGTTATTGCAAAGCGATTTCTCTAGTTTTTAAAATTCTTTATTATGGAATTCAATATCATGTTCAATATTAGGTTACACCAATTTCAATTTAAAGAAAGTTGTTTTAAAAGTTCTGGTTTAAATCTAATATGAATATCATATTTCATATTTTTTTCAGCTTTTGCAAAATCCTGATCTATTGCAGCAAGTGATGAATAATCCATTTGTACAATCAATGTTGGAAAACCCTGAATATATGCAACAAATGATTCTGAGTAATTCTCAAATGAAGGACATGTTAGAGGTATAATATCAAATTTAAAATTCATTCCTGAGTCATAATATTTATGTTTCTTTGCTGTGTCGTTAATATTTTTGATTATGTTACGGTTTTGTTATATTTTTATTTGTGCTGTTACCTTTCTAATTAAATTTCCATTTACCCTGTGATCAATAACGCGAACTCAGTAACAGTGTCACCCAGTTTCGAAATAAAATTTAGAAATATATTGAAAACAGTTATCATTTGCAAAAATTTATTGAAACCTAAATTCTGTATATATAACAAGCTCAATCAATTTCCAAATGCTAAACAACCAGCTAATTTATACAAAGTAAAATCAACACTTCTTGCAATTTACTAAAAGCAATTCTGTAATACCAGTAAAACTATAAAAAGTACAATAAAGCTTATCCTAACGATTTCTAAAAACAATTCTATAAAACCAGTAAAACTGTAGAAAGTACAATATACACTTCTCTTAAAATTGGTTAAAAACTAGAATTAAAAGTAAAATATCAGTTTAAAATCCAGCTTTCCAAAATTGAACTTAAAGTTTTTAATACTATTAAAGTTAATTGTAAATCCAAGTTAAAAAAACAAACTTCTTGAGACCTCCACAGATGCTGCTTCTGAATCCCTCAGGGCAAGTTAATTACTCAGACTCGGATAGATAGTATTCAGAAACTCGGATAGATCGGATGTACTCAGATAGATTGTATTCGAGGACCAGCTTGTTTCCGGGAGTGGGAAGAACTCTGTACCATGAAAGAACCTAACTCCGTAGCTCCGGTCCAACTCCTCTCACTAGTAAACTCATCGATCAGAGATTCCGGGTCTGGCTCCACCACACAGCGGCTCTATCTAAAGCAATCTCCTGTCCTCTCTGGCTTAGTTAATCCAGCAGAGCCTCCGTCATACTTCCACCTGTCTCGGCTCCGCTCCACCACCTTTTTTAAACTTGTGCGGGCAATGCGGAAGAGTCCTTCTCTGACCTCTTTACTCCCATGCGGAGCACCAGCGAACGTCACAACAAAACAAAAAAATAAATTCAAGCAAAAAACAGTCAAATTAAATACTTTGAAAAGTGATTAAAACTACAACAAACAACAAATTTCTATTGCATATTGTGTCACCAGCTACTGATAATACCCATATGTGCATCGAATATGGCAATATCACCAATATTATACAAAGCTGTAATTATCGAATACAATATTATTGTAAATGTTGCTGCATTTTATTGGGGTAAAAAAAAATGTTGATACCAATGTAAAAATTATATTAATTAGTTAAGTATTGGGACATATTTTTGACAATGCATCATAATGTTAAAGTTTGTACTTTGACAGCTTGAAAAAGCAGTTGCCAACACATGGTCTTTATAATCGATAAGTAGAAGATAATAGTTTGGTTGAAAACAGCAAATTGTCGCCCCAAATGTACAGAAATTATATATTTGAGTATTCGCATTCAAGACTAAGACCAGTTAAGTCTCAAATTCTGGGTCTCTATATTAAGGGAAGAAAGTTTTTAAAAGCAAACATTCTTCAGTCTATGCTTAAAAATGCTCCATAATAATGGTTTACAAGCTTAAGTCCATTTTAATTACCAATTAATTGTGTCAAGGAAATGTAAAGACTGATTTTAATCATTTTACATAAATACTTATTTATTTAGTTGTGCTTTTGTTTTGTTCTCTTCCAGCGCCTTTAAATATAAATTATTAGTTTCTTTTTTGCTTTAAAATGTATTGTTTACTGTTTTAGATCAGTGTATTCTTTTAACTTAAAAAAGTTCACAATTAGCAGAAGTTATGATAGTTAAATTTTGTTGCATCCTTAAAATTGAAATCCTTACAAAATCCATATAATTAAAATTAATTAGCTCGCATAGATAATAATAACAAATAAATGCACAGTTTGATTTTGACAATGTTGCTAATTTGATTTATTATCTATCAAAGGTGTCATTAAAATAATTAATATATACATATGTTATACTAAGCATTTTAATACCAAATTTTTCTCTTGGTTGAGCAATATGAGTTTATTATATTGTCTTGATTTTTGTTGATATGATTTTCTCCAAATTCTATTTATATAAAATGACAAACCACATGGTAGCCAGTGGCAACTAGCTAATTGTAAAAAGACCATTTATTGCATCAAACTTTTTTAGAAGCAATATTTAAATGAAATATATACCATTTGAGATAGTGTTTTGAACTAAGTTGAAAATTAGTTTAATTATCTAAAATATCCTTTGAATGAATTACTTTTTTATATTATAAAATTTATGAACAACTTATATTAAAATTCATTAGTTAAAATTATTTTTATTTTCTTATAATATTACTGTCGCATATGCTTTTTTTTTTAAAAAAAAAGTATTCATTTTAACAGATATCTAAATCCTCATTTAATTTAATGATATTATATTCATTTATCTGTGTTGTTTTCATTTAACTTTAATAATCAATGAATATACGTACTTTACAGACAAACCCTGACTTGAGTTATATGTTAAGCAATCCAGATGTTCTTCGCAATACTCTAGAAATAGCTAGGAGTCCTGGTATGCTTCAAGAATTAGTGAGATCTAGAGAAGTAAGTACTTAAGTACTGTGATTATTTAAGTACATAGTTCTTTATTATTTTGCATACATATATCTAATTTAATTATTTTTAAAGGTGCATGTCTTTTTTCGGAACAGGCACTCAAGAAATTTTCTGCAGCTTTCAAGGGCTATAATGATTTTAAATTTTTATTGCAATTGTTAATAACTTACCAAATTCGTAATTTATGAGAACTTATGAATTTGTCTTAAATAAAATTCTGAGTGCAGAAAAGTATTGCAATTACAGTAAAATGTTGAAACTGAAAAAATTGCCCCCCTTAAGATTGGGAATAGGGCAACTCATCTAATCTTATTGTTCTAATTGAAAAATATAATGCTGCAAAATATTTCATTTAAATTCATTTTCTGGTTAAATAAAAAAACATTTAAAAAAACGAAACTAAATTAATATACATTTAAAATTTAATACATTCCAGGGTGGCCACCCACCTGAAAAACCTTGAAAACCTGGAATTATCAGGGAATTTTTTTTTATACTGGAAAAAACCTGGAAATATCAGGGAAATTTGGATAAAAACCTGAAAAAATCAGGGAATTTTAAAGAAAAGCTGGAAATTTTTTCTTTGATAATTTTTTTAATTTAAATTATTTACTAATTTTCTTAATTTAAATTATTTCATCCATTATACCCACTTTTTTTAAACGGAAATGTATCGCCAAACAGTTGAAATATCGTCAACTTAGCAATACTTTGCTTGCATCAAAGTTTGCTCCATTACAGCTCTGTCAAACTAGAATGCCACATAAAATTCTCCCACGTTTGCTAAACGAATGCAGAAACCTTTGACCGCTATGGGACTGTGCAATTTAGGAAATATTCTGGTGGAGATGGAAAAAGGGATTAGGATATTAGCTTCTGTTTTTAAATTCTGTCCTTGGGCTGAATCCATTTATGGTTTGTTCCGATACTTTAGTGATAATTTTTCTTTTCTATTTTGACAAAATTTTTTTGTATTTTTAACTTTATAAAATTCTCCAAATATTGTTGGTTATAATTTAATAATAATAGATTTTATATTGCACTCTTTTTCTGAAAGCTTTTCTACTCCCATTCAAAGAAATCTGTGAATTATTTTTTCTCAGCAAACCAACCAATCGCAAATGTTTTTACAATCGCTAACAACAATGTTTGTCGATAAATCGTTACAATTGTTGCATTACTGCTAATTTTTTCTATTTCATTTTAACCTTTTATAACATATTTTAAAAAAATGTTTTTTTTTAAGAGCCAACTATATATTAATATTTCATTTTACTCTTTTGTTGATCAATTTATGATTTTTGATTCAAAATTTTGTACCAAAACATTTGAAAAATAAATAAAAAATCTTGCCAAATTGTCAAAATAAATTATTTTTTTCAAGATTTGTTAAAAAAATAACATTTTGAATAAAATATTTTATTATATAGAAACTTTTCTTGTACACATCCTATACTTTATAAGAAATAAGAAACGAAAACCTGGAAATTTTAAGATTTTTATCTGGAAAAATCAGGGAAATTTGAAATCTCATTTGAGTGGCCACCCAGCATTCCTAATGATTAAAATGTAATGCAATATATATCGAGTAACATAATTATTATACTACATATTATGTTAAACTATCAAGGAAAAAAGATCTAATAAAAGTTTAATTTATCTAACAGAAGTTAGTCAGTGATGTTATGATAAGTATGCCAAAGGTTGTGGCGAATCTTGTGTGACATTTGGCATAAATGTATTTTTGCAATGCATACTACAATGATTAAGGAATTTACAACAGTACAATCACTCATAAGTCAAAAGCCATAAAGAAATGTTTGGCTTGGAACTACTTTTTTTATTCTATCATTATTTACATAAAAATTTATCCCTTCTCTATTTTTAATATATTGCCCATAAAGAAAAAAGCTCATTGTGGACCTTGGCTTGCTGAATAATGTTATTCCAGACCTTCTTATTCATAACCTTTGATTTTTAGTACATAATTTTCTATTTTTTTTCTTTCTATATTACTTGAGTTTATAGGTTTCCAAATTAAAAAAATTTTTCATCTCCACATTTTCATTCCTTCTTTCTACATAGCCATTTTCCCTTCTAAATGAAAATGTCTTTTAGGTGACCTTTTTATTGAGGTTAGCAGAATAATCATAGTTGTATCATGATTAAATTGCATTATTTTGTTTCAATTATGTTTTGATGCTTATTCTGTTTGACTGTTTTGATGGGAAATGAAAAAAAGATTACACATTTTTAAGTGTGTTGTGTGTGTGTTTGTTGAATTTTTTTATTCATAACTTGTGACTTTCATTTCATAAAATATATTTTATATTATTTTATTGTCATTGCCCGAATTTTTATTACCAAACACGCCAACCGAATTTTCAGTTTACTGCTACGAATGTTCAACTCTGTATCCTTGTAATTTTGAACCCAATTCAGAAGACAAAGAAACTCCTGGATCAAGTATCGGGAGAAATTTGCCTTTGTGGAGGACTTTTTTATGGAACTAACCCTCATTTGTGTTACATCGAGAGGAAAACATCCCACGGTGAGCCTGACAGCATGAGGGCTGTAACTCTTGATCCAACTACCACTGAGGATATTTTAAGTCAGCACTGCGGTTGGTGTGAGGAGGCGGAATTCCAATCACCCAGCCATCGCTGGGATTCGAACCCAGCTTACCTCATTAGGAGGCGAGAACTCTATCCCCTGAACCACAACAGCTCCATAAAATATATTGTCAATTATTTTAATTAAACTCTTTCAGTGTTTTCACTACAGTGCAAGAATCTCGCCTATTTTTTTCTTTTCTTGCAATAAAAAACGATTAATGCGAGAAGTTTGCGCACTCTATTAATCAATTTCAAAATGCACGAATTTTGGAAAAGCTTTTGTCTTTTGCCATTTTGAATAAAATCCGTTACACTTTTCTTCCTTGATCTTTCATTATTTTGAACATCGGTCCTTGTAATCTAATTTCCCTATTTATCAGTATTGTTCAGAGCCGGTGCGAACAGCAGAGCACCCCCCCCCCGAACCACGGAACTCCTTTCAAAACACATTTCTCTGCAACCATGTGTTCACTGTAGGGTAAGGTTTCTTCATGTAAGACGTTTAAATTTTTTGTGCATGAATGTAAGATGGACAAATACCTTAAGACGACATCTTCTACTCCATAACGGACAAATGAAACAAATGTCGGTAGAAACGGTCAAAACGAAACAAATACGGATATTTTTCAGCCAAATAAATATAATAGCCGATGAAAAAGTAGATATAGAATATTTTCCATCTGATGATGCAGCAAAAATATTAAATTAGAAGATGTGAAAAATGTATTATAATTAAAGAAATAATTTTTTTCCAAGTCTATTCATGTTTTTTTAATTTTTAGAAATCTCACTTAACTTTTTGAAATCTCATCCTGTTCAAAAACAGGAAAGGGTGAGAAATTCTCTCCCATTTTTTTTTCTGTAATGAATACACTGTCTTTGATTGAAAGATAAAAAATGTTCTGAAGATACTGGAATAAGGAATATAAGCCTAACAAATAGCAGATCATGCCTTAAGGAAAAAAAAATCTTCTTTAAAAGATAAATTTTTCAAAACAATGATCCATTCTAGATGACCTTTTGTTAGAAGGGAATATTTATTAAAAAAAATTATTATAAATTTGTATTAAGAAAACTAAAAACAAACAAAAAAAGTGGATTTCAGGGGAGGACCCTTATAGAAGGTTATCTTTGTAATAGTGTTTATTTCATTCCGTTTGCAGATTGCAAGTGTATTGTGAAATTCAATTACTCATATATTCATTTGTCATTTGATTTCTTTGTGATAAAACTATTCTGAGCTTTATTATGCAATTTATAAATTCATTCAGGTCTTCTTGTACTGAAAATGTTTAAGTGGCACGGAACATTTTAGAAAAGCATTACTCATTTAATTTTTCTTTCTATTTAATTTTTCTTTTAATTTTTTTTTTAATTTTTCTTTCTATAATTTTTAATTTTAATTTCATTTTAATACTTTTATTTTCACATTAAGATTTTATTCCAAATGTGTATAATTAAGGAATTAAAGCTTGTATATCATTATTTTTTTAAATTCATTTTATTAATATTTATTTTATTTGAAAATAAATCATATGGCATTAAATTTCAGGGGGAAACAAATGTGTCTTCAAATCAACCTTCTCAAGAAAATACCTCTAATGGTATGCAAATGCAATTTTATTACTTGAAATAAAAAATATTCTGAACTGAAATTTTAAAATGCGTATTAAGGAGAAAAAATCAAAAGGTATCAAGGTGCTTTTACGAAAATTTAGAAAGAGTTCTAGTTCTTCCACATTTTTATTGCCTCATGCCTCTATTAGATTTTTTTTTTAAAAAAAATTTAAATAAATTTAATATATATATTGTTTAAACTTACATTAACTAATGAGAATTGCAATTAAAGCTTTATATAAATTGGAATTTATCACTATGTTTTTATAAACTTATTAAATGCTGTATATTTAGTTAATACTTCAAGGAACCACTCATAATTATTTTGTGTTCGTATAATTTAGAATTTTGTGGTTCCAGAAAAATGGATCACTATTAATTTTAAGCTCTGCTCATAATTAAAAACAAAATATCTGTATAAAATTTTATAAATAAGTAATAAAATATAATATATGAAATTTTCAAATGTTAGAATGTCTGCAAATTTAGTTAATGAAAACGTATTATATTGTTTGCATTTGGATTATATCAGTTTCTTAACAGGGGAAGAATTAGTGTTCTTCTTTGTGTAAACTAAATTTATTTTATTAAATTTTTCGTAAAAACTAAATTTTATATTCTTATAATATCCATTTTTCATCAAATTAATAGAGAAGGTAATCTAAATTATAGTAATAATTTTAGGGTGTTGTTATTACTACTTTCTAATAGATTTATATGAAATTTAATTAAAAGTCAGAATTACTGATGACAATATATTATTTTTATTTTTTTCATCTAATTTCATAGAAAAATCATCTGAAGCAGCTAGTGCTAGCAAACCTGAATCTACAAACTCACCAAACCAAGAAGCCTCTTCAGCTATGAATGCTTTTACATCAGCTGGTTTACAGTCAATTATGCAGCAATTATCGCAAAATCCACACCTTGTTCAAGAAATGTTTAATGCTCCTTACATGAATTCCATGATGGAAGCATTAGCAGCGAATCCAGAGCAAGCTAGCCAAGTTAGTAAATTATATATATATTTTTTTATAATCAAATACGACTATCATGTCAGAGAATAGATAGATTTTATTATATTTTCCAAACATTATATTAAACATTCTGTATTAAAATTATATAAATTATGCAATCAAAACAACTATTCAGGGTTTTTAATTTACCTGATAAAAAATATTTTCTCCTGATTTTTAGCTTTTGGTTCTGATATTTTTGATTTTTGTGTGTGTTCAGAATATATCATTTTTTTTAAGAGTACAAATGCAGATTTTTAAAAATTAGACTTGAAGAATCAAAAAGTTAGGATTTTTGTCCCAACATCTTTTTATTTTAATTAATAATAGTTGAAATAACATCGGCAGTTCTAATTTTCACCAGAACTTATTTACCTACATCGTTCAGACAAATAGCCTTACCTGCAAGAATTTTCCATTTGGGGAATTGTTTTAAACCTTTCTGGAAATTCAGTCATTCTGTGAAAAAGAAACTCATTTAATAATTTCATATTACTTTTTTATGATAATGACTACAAGGGTCATATACTTATTATGCAGATTCATTTGCATAATGCAGTATTATGCAAATGCAGTAAAAAATTATATAGAGTAGGCTTTTGAAGTTTTACAATTATTGGTTCATCTCTTTCATCTAATTTCAAAATTAATTCCAATCAACATTTAATATATTATTAAAGAAATCTTGAACTTTATTACTAATTTTAATTATTTATTGCGCTAATTTTGCTGCTTTAATATTAAATTTAAATTAATTCGAAATTTTTTATTTGCTTTTCTCATAGGGACTTGAAAACTATGTATGAATACATGGACCTATATAAATTTAGAGTTAACTAAAATAAGTTATTTGTTCAAAATTATTATAATGTATCATTTATGTTAATGTCCCTTATGATGTATTTTTTCTGTCTGCTTTTGAATGTATGCAAAGAAATGCTTAAATAGAATATTTAAATTCTATCAATTTTATTTTTGAACGAAATACCATATCTTCATACAATTGATTCACAATATATTTTTTAATTTTTGATCTGTTTGCTTTTTAAGGACTTGAAATCTAATTGGGAAACATTAATTTTAAAAATGTTAGAATTGCTTTGCAAATATTTCTTCTCTTATTTTATTTATTTGTGACTAAATTCATTGCTTTAGCTCTGAGGTTTAGAGGTCATGTAATGAGAAAAAACTGCTATATATTAACCCTCTGGCAGCATTGCAAAGCAGCCTATTTAAAAGAATATTCTTTTATCTGATTGCAAAAGAATGCAGGTCAAATTTTTAAAGTTTATTTTCACTTTTTTAGTGAAAAATATTGCTTAAAAACAATGCAGTTAACCATAGATATCTCACATGCTTTATGAATACTTAAATTAGCTAAACTTACACTTATAATAATACTTAATTTAGTAATAACTCCTAAATTAGCTTAAATTTCTTATATTAGCTAATTTAATGCTGTTAACTTAGCTAATAATATAAGGAAAAATTTTTATAATCTTCTCGTGCCCTGTTTTTTTATAATCTACCTATCTTAATATTAAAGAAGGTAAACTGTGTTAAGAAATAAAATTTTAGAGAACTTTATATTAAAATTTTAAACGAATCTATAGTTCTATCTTTTTTTTGTTCACTTTATGCTGGTTATTCACTGCGTAATATTAGATGTTTAAAATTTTATTAGATGTTTTGAAATAATCAAGTATGACTAAATTTAATATCCATTAGTGTCTGTTTCTGAAAGTTTTCTTGGTATTTCTTACAATTTTTGTTAAAAAGATTGCTTTATTTTAACATAAAGTATCAATAATTATTTATTTATTGTACAAAATTCAGTTTTTTTATAACAAGAATGAAGGTTTAGTACAATTGAGAGGAATTTTATTTATTGGGTGGCTAGTAATAAAATTATAAATGTATTTTTAAGACTACGTTTTTTTTTTTTTTTAATAAGGATGTTCTTTAATTTTTATCTTAGGTTTTGGTAAATAACCCAATATTTGGAAATAACCCAACGGTTCAGCAACAGATGAAAAATTCATTACCAGTATTAATCAAGCAAGTTAGTATATTTTATTTTAACCATTCTTAAAATTTACTTCTCAATTTTTGTAGGTTATTTAAAATGCACTCGTGCAAAAAATGTTCTTTAATATTTAAATTAGTTATTTTTAAAGTAATTTTATTTATGTTTTAAGTAACTCTCTCACTAAAGTCACTTCTTCATTTAATATTAATGATTTGTGACAAAATTTTTAGAACTACGACTCTTTCTTGAAAAACATAATATGACATTTATTTTTATAAATATGATTAGATGCAGAATCCAGACATGCAGAAGTTTTTGACAAATCCTCAAGCTTTGAATGCTATGATGAATATCCATCAGGGAATAGATCAGCTGCAACAAATTGCCCCAAATGCTTTTAACATGTAATTAAACTATTCTTTTGATTGTCTTGCTTGCATAAATATAAAATGTGCATCATTATATGTAGCTATTACTTTAGTATTTGTTTATTTTTTTATTTATTTATTATACTATTTATTAATTTTATTATTTGTTCATTTATGTATTTATTTTGTTCACTTAATTTCTTTTAACTATGCAATCTTTACTGTTCAGTTTTCAAGTAACAATGTATGAAAAACATTTGATTGACCTAGTGAGTGACATTAAGTTAAAAACCTGTAATGTGACTATTTGAATTAATTGTAAAAGAATATTTTTTTAAAGATGTATTTAAAAAATTTGAAAGCTGCCAGGCATGATCTTGATGAAGGAAATTTGTCTATTTATGAAATATGATTTCTGAATTTTTTACCACAAGTGAAAGGTTTAAAAAACTTTGTATATTTACAATATAACTTCTCATTCTCTGTAAAGTTCTTATCCTCAAGCTGACAAAGTATCACAAGTGAAAGGTTTTAAAACTTTTTATTTGGGAATTGATTTGTCCATTCATTGAAAAGTTCTTATCCTCAGACTAATTTAAGTTTTTAATATGTATGTATATATATATATAGTAGGTTTCTTGGCATTGGAGGGGGAAAAATTGGTACTGCATTCATACTGGTGAATATCCCTCAGCATATATCAATAAATCTTAAATTGTCCAGAAGTTTTTTTTATATATATAATTACTTGGATCAACCCTAATTATATTATGAGACGATTATATTTACGTGGGCGAATGTGTCTGCTTCTACTCTATTGCATGAAACTGCAATTAATATTTCCTTTGAGTTTATTTAGAACTTGTATGTTTTATTTGTAAATAGTTATGTTTTTATGTACCCAATTTTCCTTAGTTTTTTCTAGCCAATATCACATTTCCAATTTGTTAAGATTGTTTTAAAAATACTACCTATTTATACCATTTATTTTAAAATGCCTTTTACTGAGCATATTTTAAAGTCACGTTAAGACTGGGCGACGTTAAAATTTTCACATGACTATGTATCATCAGTCTAACATTGCAATATTTCGATACATCGCAATGTTTTGCTACTTTGGTATTATGTAATTTTGAATTCTTGCATTTTTTGATCATTGATTAGGGCAGTTTTATTCTGGGTCGAAATTTAATCCTCAGTTACCTAACAGAAAAAGTGTAAAAATATGTTATAAATTTGTCTAGCTATCAACAATAAATTATGTATTTTTTTAAATCATAAATCATTAGCATGATACATCTATAGCATAACAACATGTTGAAAAAATTACAAAAAAAGCATAACTACTAGAGGAGGGTGTGCAGCTCAATATATCCTTCCTCAGACTTGGTCTTTATAATTACAAATATAAAAATCAAAATTAAGACTCAAATTGAGTCAGCATTTATAAAATTCTTGATAAACAGAAAATATATATATTTAAAACAATGCATGCAGAAAATTTGCTGATAAGTAATAGTTTCCAATTTTTTGTAACACATTTTTAAGAAAATTATAAGTAGAGTTAGGAAAACAATATGGTTTTCTGCTACCTACTACAAATTAAAATAAATCATACTCGTTAGTCAAAAAATCATATTCAACTCCATTCATGTTTGGTTAAATCTCTTGTATTACGTCTTTTTTACAAAAATATCTGGAATTTTTTTAATCCTAATCTATTTAAATCATTGGCCACTTTAAGATTGTTCTTATAATTAAAATAATTATTGTTAATTTTTTTTGTAAGCAAATTATCTTTTCTGTTTTGTTTAAAGGTTTCCTGGGCAACCACCTTACCCATCCTGGTTCACTCAAAGTGCGATGAATGTTCCATCCCCAAATGTTGATAACAATGAGGGTAAGGAAAACAATGCTCCTGATGCATTTAGTTACTTTATGAGAAATATGGTGAATGCTGTGTCTCAAGGAGTCAACGTAAGTTAATCTATAGATTGTTTTAATGAAAAACTTTATTTTTCCCTAGTTATCAAATAAAAAATAAATAAATTCTATCATTACAGAATTATATTTCAGGGTGCGTAGCAGTTTTAAAAAGTGCTTATTTTTGATTCACGCTTTTTAAAAGCCCTTAAAGGTGTTTTTTTTATTCGGTGTTTGTAAAAAGTGCTAATTTTCTATTTTTTAAAAAGAGATTTTTTCTTTGCGATTGTTGTTCAAAATTACAAAAAATTCATTATTTTCCCAATTTTCTCTGCAATATTTATCAGAAACTAGTTATATCAACATGATTATGTCAAGTTTTTGAAAATGTTATTGAATTTTATGTTTATAAATTAAATACTTTAAGCGATAGAAAAAATCATTTTTATTACTGCACAGATCCTAATTATGATTATTTTTTGGAAGGTGATTAAAAATATTTTTTGAGTGCTTGAAAAGTACTTAAAAGGTGTTTTTTTTTATTGAAAAACTGGCTACGCACCCTGTATTTGTTAGCCTTGTTTATTGATATTTTAACCCTAACCTAAAGTATAAATATTTTACTTTAGGTTGACAGCCCCCCTGAAGAAAGGTACCAAAGTCAACTTGAACAAATGCAAGTTATGGGTTTTGAAAACAAACAGGAGAATCTTCAAGGTAAACTATGTCAAAACTTTTATTTAAAGTAGTGTTGTGTCATTATTGGTACTTAAAAAGTTGTTCATTTATGTTAGCATAATAATATAACTTAATAGTGACAATGGAGTTATTTTGCATTGTTCATTTCATGAATGCTTTCATTGAAATTATTTCCTTTTTTTTAACATTGCAGTTGCTGTAGATTCTGGGTTTCCAACTTACATGAGGTCGGGAGCCGCAATTAAAAACACCAGTCAAATGGCGGGCCACAACTTTATCAAAATTTTATATAGGACTCTTTTATGTTTGAAGGAACATTAAATATTGCTGTTAGATTTTTATAAAAGTTTTTCTAATATTAAAAAAAAAGACAAAATAACAAGCATTACAAATAATGCTTGTTACATATCATTTTGAATCTTCTCTTAATCTGAAACTTAGTGACAAGATTTTTTTTACTTTCAAATTTAATTCTGTTATAAATTAACATTTTTTCAACTTATTAGGAATTATAGAAACAACTAAAAAATTCTCGAGCATCTGAAATTAATTTTTTTTTCTTTTCCGCTCATGCGATATTCAATTCAAGAAATTTAGATAAAACATGATATTCATTCCTTCTTTTATGCACTTTAAAATTTTCAAATTTAAATAATTTCGTCCAAAATGAGTGGTTTCAAAATGCTAAATTATATTCACAAAATTGAGAAAAAGAGAGAGCAACGTACACAATTATTTTTGTATTTGAATAAATATTTTCTTGGATGCAAAACCTGAGAAATAAATTTTTTTTGCACCATTGCGTTGGTATGTTAAATTTCACAGATGACAAAAAAAATTAGTTTTTTTTTAACGAGAAAAGTATTTTAAGCCCTTATAGATTTTTTACGAAAATTGTCCGNACAAATGCAAGTTATGGGTTTTGAAAACAAACAGGAGAATCTTCAAGGTAAACTATGTCAAAACTTTTATTTAAAGTAGTGTTGTGTCATTATTGGTACTTAAAAAGTTGTTCATTTATGTTAGCATAATAATATAACTTAATAGTGACAATGGAGTTATTTTGCATTGTTCATTTCATGAATGCTTTCATTGAAATTATTTCCTTTTTTTTAACATTGCAGTTGCTGTAGATTCTGGGTTTCCAACTTACATGAGGTCGGGAGCCGCAATTAAAAACACCAGTCAAATGGCGGGCCACAACTTTATCAAAATTTTATATAGGACTCTTTTATGTTTGAAGGAACATTAAATATTGCTGTTAGATTTTTATAAAAGTTTTTCTAATATTAAAAAAAAAGACAAAATAACAAGCATTACAAATAATGCTTGTTACATATCATTTTGAATCTTCTCTTAATCTGAAACTTAGTGACAAGATTTTTTTTTACTTTCAAATTTAATTCTGTGATAAATTAACATTTTTTCGACTTATTAGGAATTATAGCAACAACTAAAAAATTCGCGAGCATCTGAAATTAATTTTTTTTTCTTTTCCGCTCATGCGATATTCAATTCAAGGAATTTAGATAAAACATGATATTCATTCCCTCTTTTATGAACTTTAAAATTTTCAAATGTAAATAATTTTGTCCAAAATGAGTGGTTTCAAAAAGCTAAATTGGAGAATCTTTGATACGCACATGCTAAATTATATTCACAAAATTAAAAAGAAAAAAAGAGAGCAACGTACACAATTATTTTTGTATTTGAATAAATATTTTCTTGGATGCAAAACCTGAGAAATAAATTTTTTTTTTGCACCGTTGCGTTGGTATGTTAAATTTCACAGATGACGAAAAAATTAGCTTTTTTTTTAACGAGAAAAGTATTTTAAGCCCTTATAGATTTTTTACAAAGATTGTCCGCTATGAAAACTAATATATTTTAGTTCGCGGGCCACAAGAAAAAGCTTTGAGGACCGGATGCGGGCCGCCAGTTGGAAACCCCTGCTGTAGATTAATAATTAAATCAAAAATTCATACTTGCGGGCTCTGAAACAGTTTTCTTATTTGTGCAGTTTATTGACATTAGTTTTCGGTCTCTGCATTGAAATTGTCATTTCTTTCATCATTTACTTAAAAGGCTTAGAAATGTTTCTTCACTGCAAATATTTACGACACAATTCTGTATAAATTCTAAATTTTTGCAGCTGTACTAATTTCACATAAGGTGTAAATAAAAGAAAACTGTAAACAAATTTTGTATTAATGTTTACAATTTAGTAGATTAGCGGAAATTTTTTTTTTCAAAAATATATAAAAAATATAGTTATTAGAATAATCAATATATAAAATTAGAATAATTTTGTGATTTTTTTTAAGAGTAATTGATGAGTTTTTTTTATAGTTTTACTTTGTTACTTAGCTTAACAAGCATAAAAGGCACCCACTAGGGTAGCATAGAATTTCAAGTTTGAATATCAGTAGAAATTTTGAGATCTACAACTATAACATAGTAAAAATTTAAAAATTAGATTAAAATAATCAAGAAATTTTCCTTGGGGTGAAAAGAGTAATGTTAGTTTATCGTTGTATTGAGTGATGTAAAATCTGTTGAGTTATGTAAAATCAATTATGCACTAAGGTAGACAAAAAATTTTCTTAAGTGCATTATGAAATTTATTATTTAAAAACCCTTAGTTCTGTGACAATGTTCTTTGTATCAAGTTACGTGTTATTTTTATTGTAAATAAAATTTCCAAATTATTTATAATAGTTCCAAAATTAAAATTAAAAAAAAGCTTGTGCGTGCCGATAGAAAATTTAATAAACAAATATTTATATATTTTTTTCTCTATATTAATTGCTAACATCTTTAATTTTTGAATAATTCTTGGAATTTTATTTTTAAGTAAAGTTTTGAGTTTTATTTTTAAGTAGATCCTTAAACTGACATTTGTTTAAAAAATATTTTGAAGAATTATTTATTTATTTTGTTAAGCCTTCAAATATTCAATTGCACCTACAATTTCAATATTCAAAATTTCAATATTCAATTCAATTTCAATATTCAATCAAATATTCAATTGCACCTACAATTTCGGTGCCATACTTTAGCTGCTTTGTAAGATTTCATTCAAAAGTGTTTAGAAAATGTTTCTTTATAATATATTTTTATAGAAGTTATGTTGTTTTGCATTTTAAATCATTGTTTAGAGAACGAAAGTGAGAATAGTTAGAAATTTAGCGTTAGCTACACATTATCTATCCTGTCAAATACTGCATTTTACCCCCATGCAACAGATTTTGTAGAGCCAAATTTGATTATGATCAGGTGCTCAAATATGCATGTATTTAATAACTGCAATTCAATGTGTTAAAACGTCCAGTTAAAGCTTTGTAAAACAAAATTTATCGATAAGTAATGTGATAAAAAGCTTTTTAAAAAAGTATTTGTTTTATATAATTCACGTTTTTACCCTTATAATTAGCCATTAAAGCTAGCAATTTATAATTAAAATGTCATGCATCATTAGGGTTCACGCTAGTATGGTGACAATTGTCGCCAAATGCTCAACAAATGTCTCTAAAATCATACAAATGGGCTAAAAATTTGTCACCTTAAAATATGTTTGGAATTTACAAATTGGAACAAAAATAGTTTGCTTTTCTTGCATCGAATTCCATGCATTTAAATAAAAACTGTTGTACAAGTTTTATTGTTCTTTCTTTTCACTTAATTTTTACAAATACTAATCTTCAATCATTATAGGGTATTGAACCTAATTAGTTTAATGTGTTGTAAATGGTAATTAATAGTTTTTGATGTGTACCAACCATAACAGGAATTACGTTGTTGTAAAGATCGATTTTTATCTCAAGTTTGACTGCCATAGTAAGATTTTGGACCACTAAACAAATACCTAAATGATCCTTTTAGACCACTAAATTTTTATTACCGGTGTGAACCCTATGTATCTTCATTTGTAAAATTAACTATTATTTCACTGAATGCTTAATTTTATATTATTAAATTTTAGTTTTATACTTATTTGTGGAAATTTTCTTGCTTTTCAGTATTAAAAAAAAAGCATAGTTAATTTTTTATTTCTTTCAGCTTTAATCGCCACATTTGGAGATGTCAATTCTGCCGTTGAAAAAATACTCTCCCACAATGTTTAAAGCAATATATGGACTGTGATAGTTTAAGCTGATTCCTTTGATTTCATTTGTGACTTGCATATTCTTAAATATTTTAGTCTAAGTAATAATTAGGCTACATAAGGTTTACAATTTAGAGCTATGATCAAATCTAGCTGCAATCTCTCTTTTAGAATGTCATCTTCTCATTTTTATTTCTCACGCATTTGATGGTGACATGAATAGATCATTATTGCAAACTTTATTTTTATACAAGATACAAAAACTCATTTTAGTGCATATTTTTGGACTTTTTTTTTAGCACGGATAAGTCCAGTAATAAGATGTATTTATTACCTTTGTATCTTGTACTCATTACTGATTTAAAAGTGTAGGCTTAAAGTTTTAACAATAAGCTTTACTATCTGTTTTTGATTTAAATAGTTAAAATATATATTAAGTTTATGAATTTGTGGAAGTAATTCCTTAGATTTGAAAGCAATGAATTTTTTTTTTTTTTAAGTTAGTGCAATATTTCTGAGGTTTTTCTGTTAAATATTACGACATATTCTAATAAAAAATTTCAATTAATTATATCTCTTGTAAAATTTAATTAGGATTTCCATTATACATAGATAAAACTGTAAAGAAATTTGAGTAATACACTTTCAAATTTAATAATAATTTCTCATAATTATAGCACATTCATTACTTAGAAACAAATTATTCATAGCATTTAATAATGAACACTTTAAATTTTGACTGGAAAAAAATGTACATTAAATTGTTTAAACTGCATGGATTATTTTTTTTTAATGAAAGAACTATATATCTGATTCTAATAATTTTTCAATATCATTTCTATATTATGTCATTGCACATTATGGAATTGTGTTTCTATTTCTGTACCTTTATTATATGTTTATTATTATCAATAAATTCGTATTTATTACTTAATAATTTTCCTGGACTTTGTTCAATGTGGTTTCTAAGCAACAACTAAAATTTGACTTCAGATAGAAAAGTTGTCAGAAAAACTACATTATTTTTGTAGTTAACTACGACTATGACTACTTAGTTACAAATGTAGTTAACTACAACTACTTTGCTTTAGATATAGTGACTACAACCTACTTTGGAATTGTAGTAACTACTTCACTACTTTAAGGTGACGAACTTCCCTGAAGAACTTAATTTATGAATATGTTCAAAATGGTTTTAAAAAACAATGGGCTTAACTACATTAAATATGAGGTAATAATTAAGAAATTATTCATGTTTACAAGAACATTCCAAAACATATTTTTCAAATTTGTTCACTTAACTTTCAACTTTTCATGCCTTTTACAACAAGCAAATATTTCATTTCAGAAATGCAAAATGATCAAATACTTGCAATTTTTTAATTGTTTTATGCTCTTTTATTTCCTTTGAGAAATTGAGTTCATCAAAAATATGTTCCCTTTCTTTTAAATAACATCAATGTTTCACGAGTCTGCATTCGCATGTGAAAGTGTGACCAAAGTGATTAATTATCTATTTTATGTAATGGTTAGTTCAAATATTAGTTAAACTTGATTTAAATACTTAATTTCTGTTAAAGCTCAGTTGCAGCCACAGGGTCATTTTCATTACATCCATTGACGAACCCACAAAGATTTGCACCCATCAAATTTGAAAAATTAGTTGCGTTAGAACCGCTTTTCTTTTCTAAACTAACGCTAAAAGTAGTTGCTGGGAATCACTACAAACTACAGTTTTTTTTGTATTGCACTACTCTCTACACTACTTTTTTTTTTTAAAAAAAAGGCACACTGCTCTACAAACTATGAAAAAAAGTAGAGACTACAGTAGTTTCACTACTTGTAGTGCCCTACTATATAGTAAATAATGTATAGTAGGTTATAAATAATTTAGAAAATAATAAAAAATAAATTTTAGTGTTTTTAATTACACTGTAGACAAAAATGAAGTAAGAGTTTTTTCTTTTTGCATTTCCTCTATAATTGTTTAATGTTATTAACCATTATCAAAAATTTTTGTTCATAAAATAAATGTAACATAAAAACTGAAGAGCAGATCAGACATGTCATGTCAGATATTCATAAAGAATTGGGTAGATACGTTGAGACAAGCTAATGTGTAGAAGAAAAATCTATTCAATGGTTTGCATATCTGCATTTGCTGTTAATCATTAAAAATACCACAATCTTCTGTTCATAGATAGTCTAATTATAGCCCTATACTTTATTTGTGTGATTCCTAAAAAATTAGTTTAGGAACCTCCCATAATTCCGTAAGGCTGATCTGCATACAATTTTTCAACAATTTAAACAAATGGAGATTTTTTTAAAATTTCTCTGAATAGTCAGATACTTTCTTTACAGCTACGTTAAAATAGTTTTCCAAAATCCTGTGAAAATATTCTTGTAAAATCCAATTACAGTTTTATACAGGTTTTTTAACATTAAATCAACCAATTTTCAACAAAAATTGTTTAATAAATTGGAATATGATTAAATTGGGGCTTTTTAATTGACCTATTATATGTCATTCTAATGCTTAATATTCATTTTGAAACTTAGCCCATTGATTCAACAGTTAAAAGGTTAACCTTATTACAATATTTTCTTAATTATTCAAAAAGTTAAAGAACTTTGCAAATGAGCTATAAAATTTATTTTATCAACTGCTAATAAAAAAAAATTGAGAAATTTTTGTAGAAAAATGCTTTCACATTATACATATTTTTTATAAAGTTTCTGAAAAAGTTATATCTATTTAAAAATTTAAGTTATTTAATTTTTTTAGTTGGAAGTTGTCTTGTGTATATGATTTGCTTTACAAACTTTGATAGTAGTAAATTAAAATTGTATTAATTTGTTTTGAATCAAGTAGGTAAAGAAGTAAAATGAGTTATAACTAATTTTAAAGAACCTATCGTTTACAATGTACTAATTTCAACATTAAAAAAATTAAGTTTAACACTAAATTTTAATGAGTCACTAAATTTTAACATTATCAGATAGAAAATAATCAATGAGTAAAATAAATTCATTTTGTGCAAAATTAATTTAACTTATTTTTTTATGCTAAACATCTTATTAAATATACTCATGAAAACTTTTTTTCTAAAAATTATACAAATAACAATGTTTTGCTCCAAAATTATTGTATTTAAAAAATGTATTTATAAACATTTCATTAACTGTTATGTTCTTTTAAAAGCGAAGTGTTATTAACTTCATCATAATGTTAAAAATCTTGATCCCCTTCCCTTAGAATGGAAACCTAGAATGGTGTATAGTTTTAATTGGATAAAAAGTTGACATTCTGCCAGGTATGAGAAATGTTTTATAATAAAATGTTACATAAATTTTGTAGAGTTTTTTCCCACACATATGCATATTAATGCAAAGTTAACAGATATGCACACTGTCGAAATATAAAATAATGGGGAAAAAATTATTAATAAAAATTAGTATGTCAGATTTTATGATTACTCAAAAATCAAACATTGATTTAACTAAGGATTGGGGTAATAAGCTTACATAATGTCATTTAATTATAAATATTATGTTAACAACAACGTAACATATGTTACTAAGTAATATTCCATTAATATTGTTTTACTATTTCGAAGTTTTTTTTTTTTTATCTAAAGATTTCCATTACACTTGCAAAACATTTTGAACTATAAAACTTATTTATTCTATTGTTCAAATATTGGCTACCTAATTTCATTTGAGTCATTATAATAAAAGTACAATATTATTTGCATTTAATAACAGAAAAAAAAATCTTTATCATAAAATTTGAGAACTCATCCAAATCTAAAATAATGCAAATTTAATTTTAACTCCTCAATGATTAAGGGGTCAAAGTATTATCAGAACATATGACGTAAACACTTTATTGCCTCAGATTTTTTTAAAAATGTATAAACTTTTTTAATTCTTTAAAGCTGTGAGTATCTGCTATATTTTTTGCAAGAAGAAAAAAAAACAGCATTATGTTTTTGCAGTAAATGTTAAATTGAAAAAGAAAAAAATATATATCGAATGCACAGATGTAAATAACGTGCTTTAAAAAGTTTAATAATTTTCCAAATGCTTATTCAATGCACAATTTTATTTTAGGTTGATTGTGAAAGAAATTACCTTTAAAGTTTTATCTTCAACAGAAAAAAAATCTCTAGGAATTCAAATAACATGTAAACATCAACAACAAAAAAAAAAACACGCATGAGAAAAACTTTCGTTTTTGTAAGAAAAATCAGTGCCTTTTTTCCAAAAAACGCACAAAACTTTATGAATAATGCAGATAGAGAAATGAATTTTTTTCAGTGTGTTTAGAATAATTTAAAATAAGTAATAAATTATTTTTCAGTACTTATGCCTATATTTGGTTAATATGACGCCTTAAAATTAAATTATGAAATTTAATTAATTTTAATGTCATAAAAAATTATTTACACCTTCCTCACAAGATACACTCAAGCAATTTATTTGTGTAATAAGGAATCATGCTATATAAAGCATGAACAACAGTTTCCAAAACAAATAAAACCAAAAATTATCCTAAACAATTTAAATGACTAACAATAACTTTAATTCCTATTTTTTATTATTATCATTAAATGCACATGAATTTTTCTGCATTCAAATAAAATATTTATGAAATTTGAATCAGATAATAGTATACTATCATCAAAAATAAATAAGCTTCAAGTGCCAATCAACATTGTAATAAATTTTTTCTTTCTTTTATAAATAAAACTGAAGTGTTTGTTTTACATTATTTTAAATAATATAAGTTTCAGCTCTTTAATGACATCTGAAATTTATTTTCAAGGATAGTTTTATATTTGTCTGAATTCATGAATATTTAAACAAAACAAATGATGTTTAAATTTGTTTTATTTCCCTACCAAAAGTTTTACAAAAGTATCAATGTTTTGCTAATTTTATAAATAATATCCGCTAACAAACAGTACCCGAAACGAAACGTAGTAATTCTTAAATAAGACTTCTTTTATTATGTAATTAAAAAGCTTATAATAAAATCTCTAAAAACGAATATTGAAAAATAAAAGATAAATAACTAAACTAAATAACACAAAACTAACCCAGCTATTAGCTGTGCTACTTGAGAAATGTCGCGTTACCCTTTTCCGTAAAAATCAAAGATCGTATCATGGGGAATTAGTAAACTAGAACTTAAGGACCAATTTTATAATTGTCTTTGAATTTCGGTACTATAATTTTATATGGCATGCTTAAAATTTGTATTATAATAGATATAAAGACAAGTACAACAAACGGAAAAACGAAACTATTGTTCATTGTTCAATTACAAATATTAAAAATTGGCAGTTACCCAGTTGAATACTACAGTTTGTGACGTCACTTAAAGACCTTGGTGATCTCAACGGCCATATTTATCGGTGGCTAAGTTTAGAGTCTCCTTGTCGTCAGACTAACCGTGGGAGGTTTTCGTGGTTTTCCTCTCCATGTAATGCAAATGCAAGTTAGTTCCATCAAAGAGTCCTCTTCGAAGGCAAATTTCTCCCACTACTTAATCCAGGAGTTCCTTTATCTTCTGGATTGGGTTCAAAATTACAAAGCTACGGAGCTAAGAACATTAGTAGTCGTAAACCCACAATTGGGTCAGCTGTTCAACGATGGTTTTAAAACAAGTTTTGCTATATTAGCTGTCAAAATAAATATTCAGCTTCACAGAGTAAAGTTGGCTGTGAAAAAAGGCAATGCTGGGGGAGGGGGGAAACGAAATTACTTTCTGAACTATCTAATGCGTTATTTATCTATATTATTTATATATATATATATATATATATAATCTAGATAAGTTGTTTGAACAATTTTAATATCTTTAAGCAAGTTATAAACAGTTAATCATATTATTACCGTTGCTAATGATAACATCTCACAAAAAAC